CTCCATCCAAGAAGGAGATATCGCAATATCTGAGCACGCTTTACAGGACTCAAACCACGCGTTAGACGGCGACGAGGACGCTCAGGAGGGTATCTATAAGCTCCGGGGATTGCTTCGTTTGCTGGAGGTTGGGGTGCAGAGGATTCTGGAGAGTTGGTCGCCTCGGATGCCATTTTTTCTGCGATACGGGGGTAATCTCGATATCGGCACAGACATAGGCTATAATTTCCTAATTAGAAAGTCAGAAGAACCTCAGATATGACAAATTCAGTAAAAAATCGATGGGATTTGGTGAGAAAAATCAGTATTTGGTGGTTTGGAGGGCTTCCGATACAAAAGTTGCAATTTTTTGAGGTTTTGGGGTGCCAAGACTGCACCAAATTTTGCATAACGTAAATGCGGACAACCATAGGCAGGGGATTTGATTCGGACAGCCTCATGCGAATAAGGTGGCATACCAGAATTTTAGGGACGGCCTTCCACTGATCTATAGCTGTGATATTTTCGATATTCTGTAGAGTTCAACCATGTCACATTCGGAATACGGCTTCACTTGAAACTTTATTTACGTATGAAAATATTAGAAAATGAAGCAGGTAGTATGAGAGGGTCTTGTAAAAGGTTTTGCTAAATGTTGTACTCCAGCCAGTCATCTTTGGTATCCATCTCTTCACGAATCTCGGGCTAAGCATTTATTCCATCTAGAATAGCGAATCTGAGGTATTTCATCAATTCCTAAATGAAAATTTGAGCTTGGGAATGAGGAAAACTTATGCCATTCCTCCAGCTAGATATGGATCAATGTGGCAGTGAAGCCTGGCTTGCATCAGCGATATAAAATATAGCATACTGATAATTACAAATTTTTTCATATTCCTGGTGACTCCACTAGAAAAGAAATAAATTTATTATGTCAAAAACTTTTGCAAACATTCAAATAGAAAGCTTTAGCTAAAGCGAAACATTTATACGGACCATGATAACGAATAGCCATCCACGCCGTCTTAGGGAATGCTCCAGGGGTAGGAAAGGTATCTGTCCGTAAATTAGTTCTCCCCTCTTTTATTAAAAGATAAGACAGAACAAACCTTTAAATAGCGGAGCCTCTAATTTGACGGCTTCCGGAATTACTTCCCTCGCCTCTGATACCGAGCTCCTCGGAAGGGATGTGCAACTCCTGGGACAGCACTCTTTTGTGATATTCTGATCGTTCCTTTGCCCACCAAAACTGTTCTCCGATCAATTCCGACGTTACGGAATAAAAGAACAGGAGGAGAATTCGCGGAAGTCGTTTCTCATGACTCGCGAGATCTGTCAGGCCACCGTGGAACCTGACCGGCCACAAAAACAAATAGCGAGCTATGTCGCGCAAGAGAATAGAAAGATCAGTGCCCTGGTTCTTGTGTTCTAATATTACAAGGGCCGGAATCAAACGGCGGACACCATCCATGTATGTAGGAAATGTAACATCGTCTTTTTCATCTTGAACACGATGAAAAAGATCGACGAAGAGGTCCTCAAACTGTGAGACTTGCAAAGAGCCGTTAAGATCTTGTGCAATCGCATCAATTGCCTTGGTTGATATATCAGCAGAAAAAAACTGGGGATCCCGCATATTGAGAGTGGCCAGCACGACCGACTTTAACCCAAATGCGAGGGTGAACAGAGGATCCAGATGGGAATTAAAACCTCCGTCATGATCAGGGCACCACGTCCAGGCAATGTGAAGCAGTAGCATTGAGCATGCGATAGCTGCGCTTGAGATGTGCTGCGTCCAGGGACCCGAAAGAGTAAGGCGAAGACCTTCGTAGGCACTTGAGATATGGGTAAGCTCGCTTATTTGATGTTCTCTGACATTGGGTTGGAGATATCGAAGGTGAGATGCGGCAGTTGCGAGGACTGCGTGCATGAGAAAGTCATTCTAAACCTGGGTTAGATAACCTCTAAGATATCTAATTAAAATAAGCAGCATACCTCTAGAGCGAGAGGTAACACGTTCCTTTTCCACAGCTCGGGACAAGGAACTAGGGTATCTGCAGTAAACTGCTCAAAATGATGAAGCAGTTTTAACTGCAGCAAGTCGAGACGCGATGAGCTATTTCTAATGTGTAGTTCTTCTGGTCCTGGTAGACCCCCAGCTCTTCCATTTTGCACTTCAGCTTTGGCTCTGTCACATCCTGGTACACGCTTCTTGGGATCTCGGGTACACACTTGGCCGGTCTTCTTGCAGTTTTGGCAAGTGGGAAGTGTCTCATCGCACTATACAGCTATAGATTTAGTGAAAATCAAACAGACTGTAAGTTTTGGTACGTCTGCACACCTTTCTTCTCTTTTTCTTGCACTGGTCACAACCTGATCTGGACTTACAGTGGACACGTCGACGACGTACCGGGTTCCCATACCGATCTAGATCAACGGGGACAGGGCGGTGGTCTGAAGTCTTGGGGTCACTAGCTACAAAGTAGCCACATCCGGGGATATTATGGACTTGCATATTGAGCGATCTGTGGCAACACCGTTGTCTCTAGAAGTCTCGGAAATGTAATCAGGATAGCGCAAGCGCGACTGAGACTTGGAGTACATAGGCCACCTGACTGACTAAATTAGTTTCCTGACCCCATACTTTGGGGGGGGTGAGAATTAGTTAACTAGTTAACTATAGTTAACTATGAGGCGCTGCTGACTCTGAGCAACTCTCATATTTTGAGCTATAAATCGGCACATCTCACCAGATTACATACAATAACGTAATCCACCCCCGAGCCGCGCACAGATCAAGTGACCTACCTCACAATTTCCCAGCGTATTCTCGAGTCGCCCAGGGGAGTGGATCGCCAGATATAAAGTGCGGGCCAATGAGCATACGAGAGATAAAAAACATTAGGCATCCTTGCGGACTTCCACTTTGTTGCTTAGTGAAGGTTCAGTAGATAATTTTCCCAAGACCAGCTACGGCTTCTTTGATGTGGAGTAACCTGACCGCATAATTAGAAATCCTCGTATTCAGGAGTAGTTTCAGCACGGCGTATTCTCGATAGGGAAGTATGACCAGACCACCTTGCCTGATGACCACAGCGTAATGACCATAAGCCATTGGATCGGTCCCTTAGTTGTGGTGGCGCACTGCAGTGGGGTCCTTTAAATTCGCCTAATTTATTTCGTATGTCAAAATTGACTATTTGCGTATTCTCAATCAAGTATAGTGCCACGCCTAACGAGTAACCTTGGATGCGTCACGTCCATTATCTTGGCGTTGATGTATTTCACTTGCAGTCAGTCAAGATCACACGAACATCGACCACTGGTGACATTATATAAAGCCAACGTTCTTTGGTCCTGGAGATAATGCCAGCATTTCTCAGTGCAAAGTTTTAAGCTCATCTGAACAAATCCCTTCTATTTCACAAAAGTCATGTCACCGATACTCCACATTCTCCACTCGCAGCTTTTTGTGTCTCTGCCTTACCCCAACTTTGATTTCTCCAACCAGACATGCATCGTGACAGGAAGTAACTCTGGAATTGGACTCGAAGCCGCAAAGCACTTGGTGCGGTTGAACGCGGCACGTGTTATACTCGCGGTGAGAAACGTTACTCGGGGAGAAGAAGCCAAAGAATGGATTGAAACCGAAACCGGTCGTAAAGATGTCGTTGAAGTATGGCATCTGGACTTGAGCAGCTATGAATCGGTCAAACAGTTTGCTCATCACGCTTCCAACAATCTGGATCGATGGGACTGTCTGTTGGAGAATGCTGGAACTGGCAGTTTTACCTACCAGACCGCTGAGGACAACGAGTCAACTATCACCATTAACGTTGTGAGCACTTTTCTATTGGCCATATTGATGCTGCCCCTACTCCGCAAGACCGCCAAGATTTTCAACACTCAGCCGCGTTTGTCATTTGTGGTGTCCGACGTGCATGCCATGGCAAATTTCCCCGAGCGCAATAACCCAAACATCTTCGCCAGCCTCAATGCGGATAGAAGTTCAGCTGCATTACGTCGACGTTATGCGGTCTCCAAGTTACTGGAAGTCTTACTCACTCGAGAATTGGCGTCCAGAGTCAGTCAATTCTGTTCTGACAACGGCAGCCAGCACGACATTATTGTCAACTGTGTTAACCAGGGCTTCTGCAAGACTAACTTGGGTGATAAGGGACCCTGGATTGGACGAATTCTTCGCAGTATTTTGGCCATGTTTCTCGCACGAACGGCTGAAGAAGGTAGCCGCACGCTCGTCTTTGCAGCTGCAGCATCAACAGACACACATGGAAAATATCTTAGTGACTGTCGCATAGAAAAGTAAGTTTCTTTCAACGGGTCGTTTTTCATTCTGATCTCTAGCACCAATTAGGCCATCGACTTTTGTCTTGAGCAAAGAAGGGCGTAAGACTCAATCAAAATTATGGGATGAATTAATGACAAAACTGGGAGCCATCTCATCTGAAATCTCTCACATTGTACAGCCATAGTTTGCATTCAATGGTCTTTCGGGATGGTGCTATTTATTTATCTGTTCGCTTTTTATTCCTCCCCTTGTTTTTTTTCCTTTTTTTTTCCCTCAAAGATTAAATAAGAAGTTTTTATTTTTAAACCGTTTGTGGAAAACTTGTTTTTGTAAAGAATAGTAATTTCAAGAATTATTGGAGAATTTATCTTTGCATTGACGCTTTATAGCCTCCTATGATGAAGGCTAGAGGCGCTGTTGAGATACCCACATGATTTATTGATTTATTGGCCACAAGCTTGATATATTGGCCGCTTAGTACATCTCCAGCCGTTTATAAAGAACAATAGTTATGGAGGGAAACCGTGAGAAAATATGGTAATATAATATTGAATATCCTCATTTTGGTAACGACAGGAACCCGCCACTAAGCACCCGCGCCTATAGCTGGCCTAAAGTCAGGTAGCTGCAATCATCCTAAACGAGGAGGCAGGTCATCACTATGCTGACGCTCATATTGAAGCGGATTGATCTTGCTGAATCGGGTTCTGGGGTGAGGGCCACTGATAATGGGGCCAGTGATCTTTCGCTAGTGTAACATGTATATAAACTGGGCGTCCTTTCATATTGATTCTGCTTTTCTAAATTACCCAACATTATGGTGATTTACTGCTATTCACACTGCCCACATTGGCTAAGACTTTTCCTCTGAAAATACGAACGCTGCATCTGCCATGTTGGCAGTCTCTAGGATATGAATGTCTGTCCCTCTATCTTCTTGGAATCTGTTGATAGCCAGGATATCAAATATGTTGGGGTTATTGGCTACCATGGAGAGCGGGAGATAAAGATAGGAGATGAGGTAACAGTCTGGGCAGCTCTTTTCACAAATAATGCTGCAGATGAGACAACGAAGAAGAGGTGAATTCAACGGTTATATAAACCTTCGTCTGAACTAAAAGTTTTATTAGGATGGAGGCTTGGGATGATGTCATACTTAAAATCGGCGACGAGACTAGAAGCAGATGGAATGCAACATACCAAGTTGCTGCTTATGGAACCAAGCTTGATGAGAGGACTGAGTGGTTAATTTGTGGGTAGATATTCCATAGAAAATGATGAATGGGATTATATTAATGTTTATTCAGTAATCTTGCAGATTATTTTTGGACAGAGTGGGAAAGAGTGGGAAAAGCTACCAAGTAACAAAAACATAACTTTGTAAGTTACCAGTCTACTACATTTGCTTTTAGTTCTAACAGCTTGCAGAAAATCTGGGTCAAGTCCATTGTAGATAACGACAACATTAAAAATGCCAAATACAGTGGCTACTCCTAGTAGGTGCTCCTGAAGCGGAGGAAGGATGGATCTGAACCCTTCAAGTGTGCAGATCGTCTTGATTTACGGCCTCCCTTGGGGCCTTGATTTCGGCTCTGCAATGAATCCCTATTCGCAGGCTTCGAATGCGATTTCTAAGTCGAAAAACCATGACCCCTGACTGCCAACTCTCTCAATGTAGCGGGAGGAGATGATACATAGGCGTGCAACTTGGGTCCATGCGCCTGTTCCATAGGTAGAGAATGAGAATCTCTCGCAGTGTGCACGTAGCGTTAGCTTACTGTAGCTGCTATCTCATTAGAATCAGACAGGGTATTCTGAGAGCCCAAGATGGTAATATTTGTCGGCCGTAAGGAACCTGGGTAGGAGCGGTGCAAGAGACTCCTTCGTCACATGTCCAAACTAAACCCGATTGGGAACAACATGAAGAATCAACTTCATCGCTCAAACTCACCCAGATGCCTATATGTTCACTCTTTTACTGTATATCGCTTCAATTCACTTAATTCTTGTCTTTTATCAGTGCATAGGGTAATAACTGGCTCAGTATCTACTAGATTCTTGCTAACTAAAGCTCCTATACATACATACTACCTATGTACATAACTATATAAAACCACTAACCCCCCTAGTTAGATAGTCAAGAATATTTATCATAATACTACTCCTCTCCCTAGATTCCTACTCCCTAGGAGGTCCAACAACAGTCAATACAGAGAGATATTGGGACGGAGGCAGAAGATAATCGATTGACGACCAGATCTGAAAGCATCTCGTATTTCAACCTATTCCTACAGATGATAATACTAATAGTATGTATCTTAAACCAATCGTTTTTCTATGACCATACTACGTTTTTAGCAGATTTCAAGAGAAAGAACTCTTTCAAAATTTCAGCGATTAATACCTAGCATTGTCCCTTGAAGGACGTTCATGCCGAGATAGGTTAGGTTACCCTCAGCTATGCTTCTGGTCGTGAAAACAGTCATGAAGCATACTTTTGAAATACATTCCGTTTGGCCAGGGAGTTATAAGCCGCGCTGAGATCTTGCAGGAGCACGATCGTCAGTAGAAATGTCATGGTTTCCGTATAGGCAATCCCAAACACATGAGGATTTTGTTCGTATCGTGTCCTAGAAAGCAGTGGTAGGTATTATTTATGAGACTTGGCAGTAAAAAGGCACAAAACCAGCATTGACGTAATTTGCAGCGAAAAAAGGGATCATCGAGTGGGCACCAATAATGATGGCCAGCAGCTGGTATCAATCTATGCGGACCCCAAGTAAAAATGTGTTGAAGATGCCAACTTTATCAGTCCAAACAGTGCATGTGAATTCTCTAAACAGCAGATGCACATCAGCCTCTTTGCCTGTACCCATTGCTAGACGCCGGAGTCTGTGAATTCCCAATGCTTTTGCTTGTTTTCTGCGCAATTATGGCTTGATATTCAGATATCTGGTTGGATAAAACTGCAATCTGATGGGCTTGGCATTCCATCGTTCCCCGCTGCTTGTGAAGCACTTCCGTTAAGTGAGCGTTTTCCTTTTGGCATCTCTGAAGGTCCAAAACCAAGCTGGATACGCTGTACTGGGGCTCCTCTGTCGCTGAAACATCCTTTATCAGCTGGTCGATCACCGCAGCCAGTTTCATCGTGGTCTCGACTAATCTCGCGTTTTCCTGTAAAAGCGTTCGTTGCTGTCCCTCATAGACGTCACAGGCCCTTCGTAGATCTGTGTTCTGCTTTTGCAATCCGGCGGTCCGGTAGGGATCCCACCATTGGTGCCAGCCATTTGCGTTAAGGTTGTCTTGCCGGAAGGACAAGGGCAACATCTATTACCTCGTCAAATGGATACCTCCTAGTTTAGCGCTGTAACAGACCTGCGTGGTACCGTAGTGGAACGTAGACATGACGACTCCGCAGGAACTGACGGGATCGGATCTCAGAACTATAGTGCAGGAGCTGCCAGATCGCTTGTGACCAGAATTGAATCTTGGGAAAACGATTAAGAAGCGGGTTAGAATTTCCAACTCCGGCAGTTTTGCTGTAGTCATCAAGACCATGTCATATTCAATGGACTGTTTGCAAAGGAGGGAACATAGGTGCTTTGCGTCCCCCAGACGCTGCAATCGCGGAATATATATTCTCTGAGCATACCCAGTAAAGGAGGACAAACCTGACCTCATAATGGACAGCGAACAGTTTAACACTCACAAAATGGCTGATGATGATGATGCGTCGAGCGTTTACAGCAGGTCTCCCGGTCTGGTAGAACAGCGTCCTCAACCGAACCACCGACGCGGTGGTTGTAGCATCTCGTCACTGCCCGACCGCCCGGAGATCACGCAAGCTGACCACCGGATTAGAATCTCCGTTGAGGCGCAGCTCGCAACACATAAAGAATGGCTACGAAGCATCTGCGGTTGCAAATGACCCAGACGTAGGCGATGACCCCCAAAAGGGGCAGGAGAAGAAGAGGAGGAAGAAGAAGAACAAGTAGACGTCGATTAGCTTCTAACTCACAAATGTGACCGAGTCATGACTATGAGATTAATTGTGCTTTGTCAATACAAGTGTAAAGTAGGCTAAAAATAGGAATGCATTTGCTGGCCAGGATGCGCAGTGGAAGCAAAAGCTAGCATACAGCAAGTGTAAAAAAGGAAGTATCTGCTGCTCTGGAATTCTTTCATGCTACAGGTCCATATATTCCACAAATCCGAGTCCCATCAAAATTTGGTAGTGCTGTCTCTACATTCAAAGTTCATTTCATGATCAAGGAGTTGAAGTACAAGGTCAGCAGTGTGATGAACACAATCGGGAGATCAGGAACTCCATGCATGAATCCATTCGAGGTGAGTGTGGTTCCATTAGAGTATATCGACTGCGGAGAAGTCCACGTGGTTGGAGTTCCATTCCATTGTCGGCTGCTGCTCGCCGAGGGTCTTATGATCTGGGATGATACACTCGCCGTCTTAGTTATCAATATATGTGGCGCTCTTGTTGAAGCAGATCCTGTCGTGTCCACAAACAGAGCACGGGAATTATTGTATCCAGGGCCATGACAAGAAGCGTAGGTGCAATTAGTCACGGGACCTCTGGTCCTGCATATGTCGTGCGACGGACGCGGCGTTAGGGCAGACATGATGGTGGAGGTGCTGGCGGTGGGAGAGAAATGGGATTGTCCTGTCGGAACAGCCGTCACGTCGCCCGTGGCCACGGACGTCGATTTCATCAGCGCTTCAGCAGATCGGCTCGTTAAGCTTTGCTCCTCTCCATAAATTTCGAAGCTTCCTTCTATGAGGAATCCAGAGCACACATGTCTGCTGGCAATGAGAACCCAGGCGAGTATTATTTTGAACATTTCTCTCAACTTGATTCCGATACACAAATCAAAGCAATGAGAACCGATTAGTACTTGAGAAGGACCAAGATGCAACACACAGCGCTGTTCCTTTGTATCTTTCTTCTTCCTATTCCCTACATATGGTTTACTGTCTCCCTCGAAAGTCGAGGAGCGAAGACTTTCAACCCCGCATGGTTGGAAGGAGCCGCCCTCACTAAAGATCGCTGAGCAAGTACAATACAAATTGTCCGGTTTACCGGCTTGTCTTTCGGACACCCTGGCAAAAGTGAAGTCTGTCGAAGAGTGCAAATGATTTAATCCCAGCGCGTACAGCCTAGTGCAAAGACGCAAGGATCCCATGGAGCTCGACTGCGGAGAAGCGAGCCGGGAGCGGGTTCTCGTCGCGCTGCCATGTCATCGGTCTTCGTTCGCTATATCTGCTTTTTGGGGACCATCGGCGGTATGCTTTCGACCACGGCACGCCAAATCCACCAACATGGTAGAGACGTCATACAATGGTCAAACAATACCAAATCCCAGGGGCCAGAACTGATCACATCTTCAGCAAATAGCATGACCGACTTGTCTTACATGGAACCATGGACGTCGCAACGCTCGGCCATCACACAGCCCACGTCGGATTTATCAACCTTTCCCCGGTACTCTATGAGCCCATCTCGCATATCGTCGATCTCAGAAGCAAGAGCAGATCATGGGGGAAGTACTGCTCAACCATCGGCTTACGCTATCAGCGTGGGACCGGTCACTTATCCCTCGCGGACAGCTATGTCGACAACCTCGGAAGACACTGGGTTCACTAGGTCGACTTTGATTGTTACATCCTCTTCAACCTCAAATTCACCAGGGACGGTGGAAACGCCAACATCACAGCAAAGCTTCCTGGGCTCAGATGTGCAGGGTTATGTTCCCAGCTATTCTGTGCCAAACACAGATGTTGCCAGCATGGCGAAAACGACTAATGGGGGCTCCTACATGACGCCTATGGCTTTTACAAAACACCGCAATACGTCTCCTCACCTACCTGCAGAGATTACGGTTGTCACACCGCAAAATTCCGAGTCGACAATTCAATCGATACCAGAGAGCGCAGGAGACTCTTTATCTGGTTTGCAACCTACGACAAGTGAGGTAACGAATCATATAACTCAACCGAGCGCTGGCTCGAACAGGGTACAGAATGAGTCAGGTGCAGAATCACCTAGCGCGGGTTCTTCGGTATCTCTAGCAGACACCGCTGCACCCGGGACCTCCTCACTAGACATAGATCAAGTATCCACTGCAAGTCTAGTGCTTGGTTTGACCATTTCCAACGTCGGGGCTAGACCCACAGCCTCAACCAAAGACGGCGACCCAAGCATGGGGGACATTATCCTGGGTGGCAGCTACACGACAGATGCATCGGCACTCAAAAATACGACGCCCATTTCAACATTTCAGACTTACTGGCCAACAGTCCTCTCCACTGGCTCCTCTCCGGGGTCGATCGAGTCTATACACCCAGCAACATATAGCCACACCGGCAGACCAGCGCTGATAGATAGCTCGAGAACCAGAAGTCCGGTGAGCAGTCATCTTCCACTTCAGGCGGCGCAGATGACAGTGGCATCGCTGCGAAGGAGCTCCCTCGATGACGTACTCACAAGTTCAGACAGCAGCACAGTCACCGGCCAGACCTATGAAGGCGCCATTTCGCCCCTGGCTATAGCAACCGAGTTCGCCAAGCAGGATAGGGTGGAGTTGGGGACGTCAACAGGCTTCCAATCGCATACTGGATCCGGAATTAAGATGAAACTCGCTACAGAAGAGAGCGCACTCCGCTCATCGAGTAATGGGACAACGACTGCGAGCCTGAAGTCTGTCGTATCGGTCACACAATCACATACCACAAGCCGGCGATCAACTCTGAGCACGTCTTCTGCAGGATATGTGTCTTACATTACCACCGTTATTACGAGCACTGTTGTTGCTGGCGACATTATGGCGACATCTTCAACCAGTGCCTCATCAGTCGTAGGGGATACATCTGAATCGCACAAAGTGTTGAAGAATAGTATTGAGGTGGCGGGAGGGACCGTCGCTGGAGGCGCCTGTATCTTTATCGCCATCCTTGCGTGGGCGCGGCACTTGAGGAAACGGAGAGGCATCATCTGGATTGATCACTCATCGAGGCAAGACCAGTACCAGCGGGATCCCTGCCGTTCATATTTTTCGGCAGATTCTTGAAACGAGACTTTCGATAGAACCACCGGGAGCGTCAAAAACCATTGTTTCCGGTCTCATTTTCGATGCTCACTGGTTGCCCACGACAGTACCCTGGAATTTAATGTGCTGGCAGTCCGGCCATCTAAGGAAGGTCAGAACCGGCAAGATCATGTTCTCCGTTTTCTGCGTTTTTCCAACAGACATCATACCGGTTATTCTCTCGATAATCAGTGTATTCCACTGGAAAGACAATACTACTGGTCTGGGCAGGCTAGGTATGTCAAACGTCTGCGTTGGACAACCCTATGGTATATGTTCAGGCGACACTAGAAAGGTGTAGAGTTGCTTAATATAAATGAGGACCAGAAACGGTTATGCCCACAGCACCGGTTCATTGCCCCTAAGACGTGGCCTGCCTACATCTGTGCATGATATGTCTCTCATACCGGTTCTTTAACACTTTGTACCCAAACCTTTCGATAATCCGGTCGAAAAAAAAAAAATCAACTAACTAGTAATGTTGCTAGTCCTCATTGACAGAAGAGTCAGCTTGAAAGTCCTGGCTATCGTGAGAAGTGGTTTGAAGTTAAGTGAAAAGGAACAAATTTTAAAATTGATATCATAGGCTTTGCAATGAGGATCCTTGAGCGGGAATCTCCAGTATCTTGTTAAATAACTAGCCTTAACCTTGTTCAACCATTGGGATGTTGTTTCCTCAAGATTTTATCACAGTTTAACATCCGCCGTTGACCCTCAGCCACGACTCCACTCACTACCGAACATCGAACGTTCTCTCTTAAACGGAATGGGACAACTTAGCGGCAGGCAGACCCTACACCACTCAAATGCGATACCTATAAGTATGGCAGGAAGCAGGTCGAATCCAGGTACAAATTGACACACTTCATTAAGTTACCTCATATACTGATCAAGCGTCTGTCAAGTGGAATACACAGAGGTAGCAAGAGGAACCCCTCACAGGTAACAATAGCACTGACGACTATTTTAGATGAGAGAGATCAAGCAGTCGTTTATCAGTCCCCTGTCTCAATCGTCTATCCAGCTTTCAGACAGTGATGAGGATTTAAGCTCCGGGACCGAGTATGTTCCGTCTGACATCGACGAGGAAAAGGAGTATGAGAGGTTAGAAACTCAAACAAAAGAACCCATCAATGACGATTTGTTTGTCGATCCGTCTCTGGGGAGCCACACAGTCTCCTTTACTATGCAGGTGAGTGCACCGATAGTCAGCACTGATCCGGAACTTACAAGCAAATGTGAAGGCAATCCTTGACGGCTTCGGACCGATACGGATTTTGAAAAAGCATGACGGGGATTCCTTTGGTCGCAGCGAGTATACGGTGCTAGGTGTTATTCGAGTCTCCGAGCAAGACATGAGACGAAACTATCCCTCTTTGCTCAGACAGTTTGAGGAGTCAGAAAACAGAGAAGGAAGTCGTGCTACGGACAGGAGTTTATTCTCTGGGTCTGGTTTTTTGAGGTCAACATAACTAGACTAGGGACAAGAAATTAGCACCGGCTGGGATATCAATCAATACAATAGCACATTCGATTACTTGTGAAAAAACAACCTTTCAAAGCTGCTGTAATAGCGATCCCGTTTTAGAATCATGTACTTTGACTTGCATGGGCATTGTTGAGCAATTCCACCCTTCGTTGGCTGAAGCAATAAAGTAGAGGGTGTAAGCTGTGCATGTGTGGAAGAATAGGCTCAATTGACAATTAGAATGAAAAGTTATCCCTTTAGAAGGGACGTGGATAACAGACTCTGGGTATTACGCCAGATAGACAGGTTCGTGTATTGGAGACTCAAATGAGAATCAGACACTATGCATTTGCTGTCGATCATCCGTGTCCTCCGGCTGTTCCTTGAAGACGTAACTCCACCTGTTAAACCTCTTCCAGGTGCTTCCTAGCTCTGTTCTTTTGAGAGGTCCGGAGAAGGTGACGGCATTAATAGGAATGAGTAACAACTGTCCAGCTCTTAACTTCAACATCGTCACCGGAATGCTCTTCAAGGGAAGGGGCACAATATCAGGCAGCCAGGACTGAAGGTTCTTCCGACCTCTTAGGAGCTTTGAGGCCTGTATCAGGCCATCCTGTGACACATAGAAATACTCCCCAAAGGGGTCCCAGAGGTGTTCAAAGCCCCAGACGCGAGAGCGCGCACATGCACGCTCTGCATCGGAGAGGCCAGCGACGCCACTCACTGAAAGATCTATAGTGATCAATCCCGGCGTCGCTTTATTCCTACTGCTTTCCATGAGAAACCGGTTATGCCCGATAATCCAATGAACCAATCTTCGCTGGTGAGCTGAGGTTGGGCAGAACCTCTTCCGCCTGGCCTGTTGTGAATGGACCGTGAATTCGGGCTTTTACGAAAGCCAGTACATCCGCAGAGAGTTCCCGCATGGAGTCGACGAGAACATCGATTGTAGCACCTGGGTCTTTACTAGGGCCATGGATCCAATTATTGGCCCAATGTAACTTCTCCGGTACAAGCGTTGGGAGTACGGAGTGGACTTGAGTCATAGTTATCGGAGAATCCTCGTTACATTTTAGGGGATTATGCATTGAAGAACCAAGGACAGGTCTTTGAAGAGGTTTTCTGGGAGGTGAAAATTCGGTTTCGATATCCTCCACTGGCCAGCCCATTCTCCATGGAGGTGGAGGAGGACTGGAGAGGGCCCAATCATCCACGTCGGCCCTGGACATCTTCCGCGAGGCCAAAAGATTGTTGATTGGGGTAAATTGGATTGGATGGCTTGAGTTAGGTATTACAGCCTTCAGTCTCGATGACAAAGGGCGTCAGTGGCAGCGGACGATTTTCCTTTCGGAACTTGAGGCCCAATCCTCCTGCGACACTCTAAGAGTGATCCAGTCGCAAATCTTTGAGCAAGCCATATCTCACGGTAGATCTTTCTGCTCGGTTGTCATCCGAACACCAGACGACCTGAATGAGGTCTTATCCAAGTGGATTCGCAGCCGTGACTGGATCTATTAGCCATAGCGATCAGGGTCATATATGAAACGATCTAATGACTCTTCCTGGAATCCACTAATTTGCGCTCCCGACATTGAGGTTGTATGATACTGGCTTGTTCATGATAAACGCAGTCTCTTTATTATAGCCTCAGTAAAGCTACACTTGGTTACAACCCACCAGTGTATGATCTGGCCTTACAGAACGTTTTTCACTGACTGCGAGACACTTGGCAAACATGAAAACAACATGCGAGAAACGGGAAAAGCGACGGTGTTTCTGTGTGATCTGTGCCACTCTGTTGCACCGCATCATCTGCCGAAGAGCAACATCGAGCACCGACTGATATATCATTGGCCTACGGTTTCGAATAAGTTCCTTGAGGAGGCGAAATTGGCATATATGCCCTTGTCTGCCCGCCAAATTCTGGTCTACCGAGGTTCCTCGGTTCAGGAACAGTGGGATATTTGCAGATTTATGAGGTTGTCGCTCAGATGAGACAAGTCGTTTACGTCTGCAGAACTTGTACCATGGCTGAAGCGCATCAACCCAGAGTGAGACAGTTGAAGGGGTCGCAATTGTTACAACAAACCCTGGGAAACGAACGTGTAATTGTGGCGGAAATGTGACAATCAAGAGGCCTGATGGATTTTGCGCGACCTGCTTTGCCTTTAAAATCTCTGCGTCTGGTGTTTGCGTTAATGTTTGACTAGCTGTGGGATTTGGTCCTTCTTGACTCTCAGAAAGAATAACTGCTGGATATCTAAAGTGTGTGCGATCCGTGTTGACCAAGTTCAAATATGGATCAAGGAGCCTGATCATCATCAGAAAATACAAAACGTTGTGCAAATGATGCTTGTGAAGGTACAAAGTCTGCTGGCAGATACAAGACGTGGAAGCCATGTTTACATCTTCTGAAATTGACAGATGAACGCTGACTTCGTTTACTTACTAACTGGTACGCACTATATAGCACAATGAGTTTGATGTATTGTCTGGTTTTATGGCTCCGGACTAAGCGGCACCAAGAAACAGAGCTTCCCAGGATCAAGGGCCATTAGAAAGTCTAAGGCCATCTTGAATTTACCTGCTATGGAATCTTATCGGTGCTTACTCAGATATATATTTCTTTCTTCCCAATCTAACACTGGGAGACCGCCAAATCCTACGTGGTTCACAATCTGAAAGCGCGGTCATTGTGTCTGGGCCACAAATATGATCTCATATCATGGTAATGTTGGAGCTAATCCTGCCACATTGGTGTATACCCAGAACTCCGGTAGTTGGACTCATTCTACAAAGCAAGTGAGACGAGTTGAAGTTTGCATGAGGACGGCCAACTGACAAAAATTAATCTACTCGCACAATGGTATTAGATTCACCCGCGAGGAGAGGAGGCAGTTGTCAGCGGAGATCACGGTATCCCTTTCTTATGTGGTATCAGCGCTTCGAAACAACTTCTGCCTCAGGGCCTCCTACTCCTGTATCATGATTCCAAATAACTAACTAACGTAATCGGACACCGAGCTGCGCGGCCACCACCACGGCCACCCCCTATCATCAAATTTGTTGCACTTTATCAACGCACCACGCCATGGCTGATATATCAAAAGAAGGACGTATGCAATTGGCACTTGATGCCTATAAGAAAGGCCTTTTTTTTTCATCAAAAACCGCAGCTGCTAAAGCTTTTGACGTACCTCCAAGGACCTTTATGACACGTGTCAATGGGACTACTTCTCGCAAAGATTCAACAGCAAATTGTCGAAAACTGATACTGAAGAAACTACGCTTTCAGCATGGATTCTTGATATGGACCGACGTGGCTTACCTCCACGAATATCAACAGTACGCTATCTGGCGCAGTTATTGCTTTCTGCGCGGTTATCTTCATCGGAAGCTTCCATTGGAGAGAAATGGGTGAACCGGTTTATCAAGCGCCAGAAAGAACTTTGCTCCAAATACAGCCGAAAGTATGATTATCAACGGTGAAGATCCAGAGCTTATCAAGGGGTGGTTTCAACGGTTTCATGATACTATTCAAAAGTATGGGATCGTAGAGCAAGATATCTACAACATGGATGAAACTGGCTTCCAAATGGGTGTGATATCAACTGCCAAAGTTATCTGCGGATCAGAAACAAGAGAGAGTCATGCAAAGATTATACAACCTGGGAATCGTGAATGGGTTACTGCAATTGTAGCAGTAAATGCAACTGGATGGGCCTTACCTCTGCAGATTATTCTTGCCGCAAAGAACCATCAATCTCAATGGTATAAGGTTGTCCCAAAGGATTACCGAATCAGCGTTAGTGAGAATGGCTGGACAAATGATGAATTAGGCTTTGAATGGCTTCAGGAGATGTTTGAGAAACATACAGCTTCTCAAACTATTGGGAGATATCGCCTGTTGATTCTGGATGGTCACGGCAGTCATGCTACAGCAGAATTTGACAAGTTCTGTACAGAAAGGAATATTATTCCTTTATATATGCCACCACATTCGTCCCATCTGCTTCAACCACTTTTTAATTTATTTATAGAGATGGGATGAATGACCACCTTCGACGACGGAATAACGGCAAGGATGCCGCCGGAAAGAGTAGTGACGAATTTCCAGAAACAGGCGGTCCCCAACTTTAAGCAAGGTTGGCTTTGGGGCTAAAAGCAGGAAAAGCCACGATCTGAGATCGTGCCTGCGTGATTTGGGCGTGATTGGCTCTCCGGACTGGGGGCGGAATGCACATCATACTCGCTATGGCATAGAGCTCTTAAGCGACTGCGGATTGTTCGTATTTCCGGAATTGGTTCTTGAGCAGTGGCTAACCTTATTCCGTAGTCTCTACTATGGCGAGCTGCGGCTGAAAAGGAGGAATCCTGTAGCTGGCATTATGAATGATCAAATCAGTGAGTGATAGACCTGTCCTCTGTCATAACAGCAGAGTAGTTATTATAATTGATGTCTTGTATTGGCTGTGCTAACAGACCACGTGCCAAGTGCCGCTATACCCTCGCAGGCGACGTTGCATCGCGCAGATTGTCCCTCTAGCACAGCACTTTATTTCTGCAGATCCGATGCCACAGCCGCAGCTGAGCCCATATTTGGCACCAGCATAGTTACATCGCATCAGCCGCCTGCGGATCCTACTAGCCATGTGTATCCCCGCCCCGTCCCGTACAGCTCTGATGCCCACTAGGGAACCTTGATGGATCAGGGCTCTTATCTTCTGCGGCTATGATAATGATATTTAAGGCAGTCTATTCCCATCCGGCCATGGGTGCGCCCATTGCGTCTTCTTCATCCCTTGAGAGCCAGGAGAAATGAGGACTGTCACCACTCTCTCGACCCTTTGCGCCTTGTGCGGCCTGACGACCGCCTGGCTGCCCGGCATTCACAAGGACATCACCTCCGTCGACGGCCAAAATCACTTCAACACCTCCTCGGACAACAAGCGATGGCTCCCGGCCTCGGGCAAGATCCGCGGAGTCGACCTGGGATCCCTGTTTGTCACCGAGCCCTGGATGGCAAGCAATGCCTGGAGCTCCATGGGCTGCGGCAACGCGCCGTCCGAATTCGACTGCGTCATGAATCTGGGCCAGGATGCCGCCAACTCGGCCTTTAAGAACCACTGGAGCACGTGGATCACCAAGGACGACATCACCGAGATGCAGAGCTACGGCCTGAACACCATCCGCATTCCCGTCGGCTACTGGTTGAAGGAGGACATTGTCTACAAGGACAGCGAACACTTCCCCCAGGGCGGCCTGTCCTACCTGGAGCAGGTCTGCGGCTGGGCCAGTGACGCCGGCTTCTACATCATTATCGACCTGCACGGTGCCCCGGAAGCTCAGGTGCCTAAGAATGCCGACACGGGTCAGGTGAGCAGATTGTTTCTGTTGGTAATAATTACCTGTCTAACTTGTGTAGTACGCTCCCACCGCCGGTTTCTATGTCGACTACCAGTATGAGCGCGCCCTCGAGTTCCTCGAGTGGATGGCGACCAACATCCACACCAACAACAACTTCCGGAACGTTGGCATGCTGGAAATCGTCAACGAGCCGCTTCAGGATCCCAACCAGGTGGAAAGCATGCGGACCAGCTATTACCCGAACGCGTTCAAAGTAAGTCATCCCTCAGGATGACGCCACGAACAATGAATTAACAGCTCTTTCTAGCGAATCCGCGCCGCGGAACAGAAACTCGGCATCACGCCCAACAACTACATCCACATCCAGATGATGAACGAGAAATGGGGCTCGGGCGACCCGACGCAGGCGCTGACGGACAACTACTTCGCCGCGTACGACGACCACCGCTACCTGAAGTGGGACTCGAGCGTGCCCGTGTCCAAGGACAGCTACCTGAAAACGTCGTGCAACGACGACCGCGGCGGCAACTGGCCCACGATCGTGGGCGAGTTCTCGCTCAGCCCTCCGGACAACGTGCAGTGGACGTCGGACTGGGAACCGAACACGAACAAGGACTTTTACAAGAAGTGGTTCGCGGCGCAGGTCATGTCGTACGAGAAGCAGAACGGCTGGATCTTCTGGTCGTGGAAGACGGACCTGAACGACTACCGGTGGTCATACAAGCGTAAGTCAAAATCATTTGAACAATCGTGGTGTGCGAAAGTGCGGACACTAACTAACGTGTAACAGAGGCTGTCGAAGCGGGCGTTATCCCCAAGGACCTGAACTCGGTCTACAACATGGGTGCTTGCTGAACGCTCGTCAGGGTTGAGTAGAATATGTATATAAGAATAGCAAGGCTATAGAAAGAGGTGTACTGTACATACATACTACTAAACTGGACAGAGATAATAAATAGAATTCATGAGCCAGAATCTTTCTGATTCATTCATTCCTTTGGAACAGCTACAGAAGGGGATTACAAACAGACCTACATAGCCATATATATAAATAAGATTGAAGAGAATTTTTATTAAAAAGTAAATTTTTTATCAATCCCTATAAAATTAAGAATATACTATATTCGATCAAGAAAAAATCATAAACTTTGGGGTGCTTCCCGTAGCCGATGCTCTGCCGACGTGACCATTTGCGCTCGCAGACCTAAGATGATAACCTTGGAGGCGGAGGCTTGAGCAAAAGATTTGGCATGGTTGAAATACCGAGTACTGTCTACCACTCTTACCTAGTCTACATCCCTGCCAGCACGTGGCACGCTAAGAAAGTATGCATTGCGGATAACTGCTTACTTGCAGGAAATGACATCATATCATCGACTGGAGAAGAAAGAACATTAATTAATTAACATTGAACAATCTTTTATTTTTAGTATTTATTTATTTATTCCTGCCTTTAAGCAAACCTTCGAGGTCATTTTTTTGTCATCGCGAACCTGTTCTAGTCCTGTCGAAACAAATAGCCGCGACTTTCCAACTGCTTGAGTGGCGGTGGTGGAGGCAATGAATTTGTCTCGTTCCAGCACAATCAGCTTTTATTGTCTGCACTGTGGAATATTATTGCGACATAAACCTAGTAATGATAATTAATAATGAACTAATCGATTTAATTACGACTCATTTCTAAACAAAGAAAACAGGCAATCCAGTATACGGGGTAATGCCGACACTAAACCGTTCCAGGCAAAATACCGTCGATAAGCGACCCCGGCTCCACCCGGAAAACAGAGGAAGGAATCAACGAAACGAAAGAGATTTCCGACGATCAGTCACCGATATCGATGTCATGTCGAGATACTCCCTCCATGGCTATATAGACTGGCCCACACGCCCGCTCGCCCCTCGCCTCGCCTCTCTCGCCTCGCCCTTCTCGCCTTTGCGGCCACTTTGTTCGCCTCTGTTGCGCTGACGTCTTCGCATTCATTACCTGCAACATACTTACATTCTCGAAAGAATCGGAGACACCATGTTGATTGAATCCCAGACCCAGCCAGACAACAGCTCGAGCTCAAGCTCGCGCTCGCGCTTGGCGGGCCTGCCAGAAGCCGCTGTCGACGAAATCTTCGCCCTCAACCATGCCTATGCCACCGACACGCATCCGGACAAAGTCAGCCTAGGCATTGGCGTCTACCGCACCCCCGACGGCAAGCCGTGGCCGCTGCCCTCGGTGCAGAAGGTCGAGGAGGAGCTGCTGCACGAAAACGACCCCTTCCGCCACGAGTACCTGCCCATCGAGGGTGACCAGGTCTTTCTCGACCTGGCCCGCGACCTGATGTTTGGTTTCAAGCACGACAAGGCGCTCGAGACGCCCGCCGAGAAGGAAGCGAAGCGCCGCATCGCCTCCGTGCAGACCATCTCCGGCACCGGCGCCAACCACGTCGGCGCCGTGTTTCTCGCCCAGCACCTCAAGCCCAAGCACGTCTGGATCTCCAGCCCCTCGTGGCCCAACCACCAGACCATCTGGGACCTGCAGGGCGTGCCGCGGAAGAGCTACCCGTACTTTGACGCCGCGACGCGTTCGTTCGACTTCGAAGGCACCATGCGGACGTTGGAGGCCGAGGCCGAGGAAGGCGACGTGATCGTCCTGCACGCCTGCGCCCACAACCCCACGGGCATCGACCCGACCAAGGAGCAGTGGAAGGCCATCGCTGACCTCTGCCAGCGGAAGGGCCTCTTCCCGTTCTTCGACTCGGCCTACCAGGGCTTCGCGTCGGGTTCCGTGGACGAGGACGCCTGGGCGGTGCGGTACTTCTTCAACCTGGAGCCGCGCATGGAGATGTGCGTGGCGCAGAGCTTCTCCAAGAACTTTGGCCTGTACGGTCAGCGCGTGGGGGCGTTCCACCTCGTGACGAACGGCGAGACGGACCAGCAGCTCGTCGCCAAGAACCTGTGCCATATCATCCGCGGCGAGTACTCGATGGCGCCGCGGGCCGGCAGCACGATCGTGAAGCGGATCCTGGGCGATGAGCAGCTGCGCGCGGCCTGGCAGCGAGACTTGGACGTCATGAGCTCGCGGATTAAGAAGATGCGGCGGGCGCTGTATGACGAGTTGGTGCGGCTGAAGACGCCGGGGAACTGGGAGCACATCATCAATCAGGTAATAAAATAATAGAATAACTTACTTGTAGATTACCTGCTAACGAGAACCACAGAACGGAATGTTCTCCTACACCGGCCTCACGCTGCGACAGGTGCTGGCCCTGAGGGAGCAGTACCACATCTACCTGCTTAAGTCGGGCCGGGCGTCGATCAGTGGATGTAAGTGACCTTTCTTGACTTAATACTTAGAAGCTAAGCTAAGGTGACATCTCAGTGAGCGACAACAACGTCGCCTATGTGGCGAAGGCGATTGATGATGTTGTCCGGACGGTAATTTGATCTATCAACCTAGATCAGGTGGCTGCACACGTGACGAGCCACCACCTATGAATAGGTATATATACCCAGCATTACTATCATGCGATGCGATAGACAATCAGGGCGGTAGCAGGAGTTCTGGTTGGTTGGTCTACTGTCTGTACATACATGCTCACTAGATATATATATATCTCTATATACATATGTATTTTTATTAATTGCGCTGGAATTTCTACGACCTCGTAACCTCAAATTTATATGAGCCAGCTCATTAGCCTTTCAGGTTATCTCATCATAAGCTAGCTACCTACCTAGCCACCTATGTAGGTAGGTAGCTATTAGTGCTGCAAGAGGTGCAGTGGGGTAAGTACCTAGGTACTCTTGTTCCAGCTCGGAGTTGTCTCCGTGAGGGGTAAGCAAGCCCAAACTTCCTTTCTAGGCAAGTTGAGGATTCATCCCGTCTCTTGCGTGGATGGGTGGTTGCTCCGCGATAAAGAGAATATAGATAAGAAAGATAAACCTAGATGATTATAGGCATTATAGGTATTATTGTTATTTGAATTGCATTAAATTGCACGAGTAGATTGTCTTTCTTGCAACTGCGCATGAAAGTAGCTAACTATCAACTATTACTCGACGATTGCTACCATGGCCACGACGACGACGACTTCTGACCTGCACGCCCTCCGCCCCGTCGATCTCTACCAGCCTCTCCACAACAGCATCCCAGAGGAACTGCTCCCCCGCTTTGACCCCGTCTACGTCGAGTACTACAACAAATACAACGCCGGACGTCTGCACACCCACGAGGTGCCGATCGAGGAGTACCGCAAAAACCCAGCCAAATACACCATCTCGTACGGCCGTGCTGCCGGACCGGATGTCTATCGCATCACGGAGCAGAAATGCCCCGTAGACGGCGACGAGATCACAGTGCGCATCTTCGAGCCGAAGCCGCCAGAAGACGGCAATAAAAAGAGGGCCGCTTATATCAACTTCCACGGCGGCGGCTGGGTGTTTGGTGACCTGTCTAAAGATCACGACTTTTGCAAGCGCATTGTCCACGCCCTCGATGGCGATCTCGTCGCGTTCGATGTCGACTACCGTCTGGCTCCGGAGCATAAATTCCCCATTCCTGTCGACGACTGTTGGGCGGCCTTTAACTGGGTGAGCACACGTTCCTCCTCAGTAACTATCACGAACTGACAAATCCAGGTCCGAACCCAAAAAGCGGAGGAATTCAACCTCGATCCAAACCGCCTCGCCGTCGGCGGCATATCGGCCGGAGGGCATCTCGCCGCCGTAGTCGGCCAGCTCTGTCGCAACGCCAATATCCCCCTGGCCTTCCAGTTGCTGACCGTGCCTGTGTGCGATCTCCACAGCGTGTTTACGCCCGAAGGAGAGTTCGACCGCGACAACTGCCCGTACGGGTCCTACCGAGAGATGGAATTCGCGCCCGCGCTTCCCATGGCGCGCATGGCGTTCTTCCATCGACATTTCTTGGAATGTCCGCGTCCGCCAAAGTCTGAGGATGTCAGTAGACAGGATATCTAACACTTCTTGTTGAGAATTGTTGAGAATTTCCCGCTGACTGACGACAGGACTGGAAGATATCGCCCAATCTGTCGACGAATTTCTCCAACCTGGCTCCAGCCCTGGTCTTCACAGCCGAGCTGGATCCTCTGCGCGACGAAGGGGAGACGTATGCGGCAAAGATGAAGGCAGCCGGCTCGCCGGTCGAATTGATCCGTGTTCCTGGCGTGCCGCACACCTTTGCGCATTTGGACGCTATCTTGGACGCCGGCAAGATGTATAATGAGAAAGTTATCGAGGCGCTCAAAAAGTATCTGCGGGTGTAATAATAGAACGGGAGAATACTGCACATATTGTTCAAACTAGACTGTTAAAGAAGAGTTGAGTAGTGCTTGCTTCGCTGAGCCTAGGAAATACAGAAAAGTCAAACGCGAGCAAGGTTCTCCTACCCAACCCATGGAAAAGGGGTGTAGCGCCACAGGAATCTCTCTATTTCGAGTTCCTCCTCATACTGATCCCCCCAAGCGCCCTTCGAAAGAGTGCTTCCCAATGGGGCACGTTATAGGTAAACCACATGGTCTTGGTGAATTCCCAGTATTCCGGCTTGAAACCCGCACACTCCCAGTCGATGATGCCGCTAAGACGTCCGCCTTCGACGAGCAGGTTGCTATCGTGCAGATCAGAATGCGTAAAGTACGACCGGTGATCCTGACGAAGGCTCTGGAACTTGTCGCCAAAGAACTCTGCAGCGGTGCAATCATGATGGCTCCTCAACAGATTGTAAAAGTCGGCTTCTGAGCTGCATGGGCCCCCACGCCCTGTTGGGATACGGTGGTCAACCATTGGACCTCCTAATGTATCTGCGAACAGATATGGCGTCTTGTTTGGTATTGTCCGTAGCTGAGCAATACAAGCACCCAGATCATCAGCAAAGCGATCACGCTCAGCGTATGACATTAGATGGAATACATCATGAAGCGACTGCCCGCGTAGATGTGTCAAAGCTATATAAGATTTTCCTGGTATTCCCAGACATCAACTAGGCGCGGGGCTGGGACAGATGTATATTGCTCTACTAGTTTCAGAGCATTTGGCTCATTTTGAGGAGAGCGGACACAATGCTTGATAACTAACCCAAAAGGCACCACTTGGACACCAGGAGACCGTGAAGGCCCGTAAAGATAGCGTCCAACTTTCATTAGTAACAGATAGCATTGTATGCGGGCCCAAAGCGGTATCCAGAGCCATAGCTGATAGAAAGTCCTTCGGATAGTTGGACTGAGAAGGTCTTCAATACATTGTCAACCATTAATGTACTGCACAGGCAAGTAACTCGATTATTACCTGAGTCCGTGGCCAGTCGCGTGCTATTTTATCCTCAATGGAGAATAGATGTAAGGCGGTGGCAAGTCGATAATGGACGTCGAAAAGAAAGCTGCTTGGAAGAGGGAGTGCATTCTTATCCGGTAAGACTGTAAAGAAATGCATGGGGACTTGAGGCTCGGATCCATCTCCAAGGAATAAACCTGAGCATTCCTCGGGATATGATTTTTGCAGACAGCACTATAAGGAAAGGTTTTTAGTGATCTTTTCAGTCTCATACTTCGCCATGACTCACCCTAATGGGCTGGAATGGGTTTTCTGGCTCAGACTCAGCTGTCCACTGTCCCTGCACCTGGGCCAGAGTTCTCATGGTTACATGGCCTGCACGGAAAGCCCTGTGGACACTTGGCGATAGTAGCCAAACATTTTGAAGAATGGATATGTCATTCTTGCTGCAGAGTACATCCCGCAGGCGGCCGATATATGAGGGAGTCAAGAATGATTCAAGGATGGCGTATAGACGTCCCTGAATCAATTTTAGCTCAATTTTTAAAGTTTGATGCCACGGAAAGCTCACCTCTTCTTCCGATTCCAGATTGTGAAGCAGAGACGGTGGAATCACATACGCAGTTTCCACGGTCGATTTTTCAGGGCCATGTTCATTCTTGGTAATGAAGCAGCGAGGCCCATCTCTACTGCGAACCAGAGTGCTGATGTACTTTGGGATCTTATCAAATTTTGTCACTGTATCTCGTTAGTGCATGAAACCAATGCCTGCCTTCATTGATCACTCACGCCTTGTTATCAGCTTTCTCAAGTCCCGCTTAAAATGACGCAGGCTGCTTTCCGTATCGTCCTCAGCACCATCGCTCTGACTGACTCTCGAAAGCAAATACCGCGCAGCGCGCTCCGAGTCGACCGCGCTCTCAACAAAATGCTTCAGGAGAAGATGCTCAGTCGGCGTAAGGTCCGCGGAAGAGATAAGATCCAAGGCGGTCTGTGTAGTAGCCATTACTGAAAGTGCGCGCGTTATGGAAACCACATTGAAAGTTCCAGAGCAACTACAAATAGCAGTTCCACGGGCTTAATTGAAAAAGGCTTGCTTTTTCGTAGAGGAAAGGGGATGAAGGCATTCCATCTATTGCTCATCGGAGGAATATGGCAATGAATAAACAAAGGTAGGTTTCAAAACAGTTTCGAAAAGAGTCCGGCCTCAGTTGATGATGACGCAAAAATAGCAAGTCTGACATTACGATTCAAGTGCAGCAGCCAAATTATTGTTGTTAGGTGCCTGAGGAAGTGTTGCCCATTGCAATGTGATGTTGTCTTCGGCATTGGTTGTCGCTTCTGGGGTAGTTCTACCCTTCAGCTGATACTGAGGCTCTAGGCACGTATATCAGCAACAAGTCGGACATTGAAGCAAACTAACACTGGAACTGAGTGACCTTGGCTTGCTGCTGTCGACAACAGTAAATCATGTCTTGATGTTTGCTACCAGGCTTCGGTTCACGGCTCCTTCCGTCCCTGGACGGCCGCTTTACTGTGTCACGTGAGGGAGCGCAAGATTCGAGAAGAACTGATGCTGCCCAGCTTATCAAAGATCCAGGTCGATGTTGAGCTCCTCCTTTGTCCCCGACATGGCATGCTTCACTTCCACACCATGCCTGACTCCCTGACCGCTGCCCGCACCGACGGCAAGGCGCATCTCCTGCTCGCCGCCTCGGGCTCCGTCGCGACAATCAAGCTGCCGGACATAGTCCGCGCACTGTCCCACCACCCCAACCTGTCCATCCGCATCATCCTGACTTCCTCCGCAAAGCGCTTCCTCGCTGGTCAGTCCCAGGAGCAGCCAACGGTGTCCTCCCTGCTCGAGTTCCCCAATGTAGACGCCGTCTACGACGACGACTCGGAATGGGGCCCGGAGCCCTGGCGGCGCGGGGCCGAGATCCTGCACATCGAGCTGCGGCGGTGGGCGGACCTTCTCGTGATTGCGCCCTTGTCTGCCAACACGCTGGCGAAAGTGGTGGCGGGAATGGCAGACAATCTACTCACCAGCGTCGTCCGTGCTTGGGACACGACGGGCAAGATAGACGGCGTCCACAAGAAGATCCTCGTTGCGCCAGCGATGAACACGGCCATGTGGCAGCACCCGGTGACGGGGCAGCAAGTGCGGGTGCTGCAGGAGGACTGGCGCTGGTTTGAGGTGCTGCCGCCGCAGGAGAAGACGCTGATGTGCGGCGACACCGGGTCGGGAGCGATGATGGAGTGGACACAGATTGTGAGAATCATCGAAGAGAGGTTGGAGCTGGGAAATGCAGAAGCAAATGGTGTTGCAGCAGTCGCAAAGTGAGGGTTTTTATGTAGAACAGGACAATCTAATATTTATGCTATATTTCATTATTACCTTTGGGCCAAGTAATCTCTTTTGCCAGCTTTCTTGTGATTCTCCGAAAACTAATATTTTTGGCTTTGGATATTCAGATACAGTAGCGACAGGAATCCTCGATCATAGTTCAGACCTCGATTATAAGGCAGCCAGTCCAATTGACATTTTGGCCTGGTTCGAACTAGGCTTACTGTCATCAAGCCGTATGCTCCTAAGGCTGGCATGGTCTTCTTGAAGCTATATAGATTCTTGTTTTTGTATATGGCAAAGGGAATCGGTAGCTGGGGCATTTTGTTACAATACCGTACAGGTTTCGTCAGGCCTTCTGGTGCGTGCGTACTGTCATTTTGGTTACCCCGATACCCGACGCCGGGAAGATCCGGCGGCGACGTTTTTGTCGCCAATTCCCCAGCTCCGTTTGTTTTCTCTGTCTGAAGCTCCTCTCCCTTCTGAAAGCTGTGCCCGTGGCATTGCCTCCCCCAGGGTATCGGTATCAGATCACCTGCAATTGCACTGGCCTGTTGAGAACAGCAGACTCCGGCCGGCTCCTCCACCATGTCCGCCTCGTCGTCTCGGGCCGCGGTGCGGTCGATGGCCTCTCTCTCACATGCTGCGTCGGCAGCCTCCAAGTCCAGCTCCCCCGCAGCTGCCCTGCTGGCCGTCTCCCCCACCCTCTCGCTCAATTGCCGCCGCAGTTTCAATCGCCGACAGTTCCAAGGCCTGTCGCAGGTCGCCCGTCTCCAGTCTCTGCAGTCTAGCAGGACTTTTGCTACCACGGCCAAGATGGTACGTATGCTTCTCTGTGTCCAGAAGCACCGTTCGCTGACGATCATGATTCCGATTAGGCTTCGACGAACACTCGAATTGAGACTGATGCCTTTGGCGAAATCGAGGTCGGTGCTAGGCGCTGAGATTTTGGGAATTCGGTCATCGTTGCTAAACCCGTGCGATAGGTCCCCGCAGACAAGTACTGGGGTGCCCAGACACAGCGGTAGGTGGACAGATGTCTTAATTGACATGTACGTCGGTATCGAAGGATCTGGATGCTGACTCGCGGCGCAGCTCGCTGGGCAACTTCAAGATCAACCAGCCGGGGGACCGCATGCCCGCGCCGATCGTCAAGGCGTTTGGTATTCTTAAGGGTGCCGCTGCAACTGTTAACATGAGATATGGCCTTGGTAAGCGTTCTCGCGAAGTCTGTATTCGCGGGTCGAGACTAATGTTCTCGTTTTCCAGACCCCAAGATTGGAGAGGCGATCAAGCAAGCCGCTGCAGAGGTCGCTTCCCTCAAGCTGATCGACCACTTCCCGCTGGTCGTCTGGCAGACCGGTTCCGGCACCCAGTCCAACATGAACGCCAACGAGGTCATTTCCAACCGTGCCATTGAGATTCTGGGAGGGAAAATGGGAAGCAAGAAGCCGGTCCACCCCAATGACCACGTGAACATGTCTGCTTCGTCCAACGACTCCTTCCCAACGGTCATGCACATCGCTGCCGTCCTCGAGATTGAAGGGTCTTTGCTGCCGTCTCTGAAGAGCCTGCGCAATGCCCTCCAGGAGAAGGTCGTGCAGTTTGAGAAGATCATCAAGATCGGCCGTACTCACCTCCAGGACGCTACGCCCCTGACTCTTGGCCAGGAGTTCTCGGGATACGTCGCTCAGCTCGACCGCAACATCGAGCGGGTTCAGAACACGCTTCCTCACCTCCGCCTCATTGCTCAGGGTGGAACCGCCGTCGGTACCGGTCTGAACACCTTCAAGGGCTTTGACGAGCAGGTTGCCGAAGAGATTAGCAAACTGGCTGGCACCGAGTTCAAGACTGCGCCCAACAAGTTCGAAGCTCTGGCTGCCCATGATGCCATTGTCGAGGCCTCTGGCGCTCTGAACACTCTGGCTGGCTCTCTCTTCAAGATCGCCCAGGACATTCGTTACCTGGGTTCGGGCCCTCGCTGCGGTCTGGGCGAGCTTCTGCTGCCGGAAAACGAGCCGGGCTCCTCGATCATGCCGGGCAAGGTCAACCCCACCCAGTGCGAGTCTCTGACCATGGTGTGCGCCCAGGTGATGGGCAACCACGTCGCTACCACCATCGGAGGCATGAACGGACAGTTCGAATTGAACGTCTTCAAGCCCGTTATGATCCGCAACCTGCTGCACAGCATCCGCATCCTGTCGGACGGCATGGCCAGCTTCGAGAAGAACCTGGTTCACGGCCTTCAGGCCGATGAGAAGAGAATCAGCTCTCTTCTTCACGAGAGGTGAGTTCTATTGGTCGTCGTCGTTGATTCGTTCCTATATACTGATTTTGGCACAGTCTCATGCTCGTGACCTGCCTCAACCCTGTGATCGGCTACGACATGGCCTCGAAGGTGGCCAAGAACGCGCACAAGAAGGGCACCACCCTGAAGGAGAGTGCCATGGAGCTCAAGGCTCTGAGCGAGGAGGACTTTGACAAGTATGTCCGTCCGGAGCTGATGATCAGCCCGAAGGAGAAGAAATAAATGGTGTGAATTTTGAAGAGTCTGTTCTTCGGTGTGCATGTCTGTCGAAATAGATTTGGCGCTGAGCATCCAAATGTACCTATATAGCATCTGCCTTGCAGATATGTAGTACCATTCTAGAATATATATCACTATGTTCTATTTGACATTGGATTGTCTCTTCTGGTTCTTCACTTGGCCCTGACTTAATATGAGCTGACATCCAGTTAATAATAACCCAAAAAAAACTATCCAGGGTACTTTTACCCTGACTCTCAACCCTAAAAACTCTGAATTACCCCTTTACCCAACACTGACTGAGGGGTATTAGGAAATATATATATTGGAAGCTAGGGCCAGTAAATATGAATCTACAATAATCATCTACGCTGGTCTACTATTGGCCATGGCCTTGAAGAATAGCTAATAGAAGGAGCAATAAAAATAGCACCGTTATATGCTAAATCACTCCTGGATTAGCCCCAATACTTAAGACCAGCGCTATGTGATGTAATTACTACGGAGTATAATATGTGCAATGAAGTCTTCAAATTGACAGCGCAGATGCTTGTCCACATGCACAAACAGAACAGGGAAAAAAAAAAGAAAGAAGGAAAGAAAGAAGAAAAATACTGAAAAATATCTTTGACCAATGGTGACGAGATACAGGTTTTTGGAAGCTTCTAGTGTTCCATTCGTTTTGCTGCGCGGCTGTGCTGACATGTCTTAGTCCGAGGCCCAAAATAGAAGCCGCCAGGAACGTGCGCTGGCCGGAGTCCAGACAGCAGTTCGACTATTTATGATCTATTGCAAGCTAAGCTCTCAACTCCCGCATTGACCTGGAAACACTCTTCCTTATTCTCTTCAGTCTTTCAGTTCCAGGGCCTTCTTGTTTTCTATTTAAATTCTAATCCATTCGTTGCTACTGCATCTTGGAATAAATAGCTACTAGCTGAACTACCGACTCCTCGGCATCCTTCATTCACCAGGACAAACCGCTCACCGCCCATTGCTATCTATCAACCATCATTTCCTCCAGTTCGTTGCTTCCAATTCTTCAAGGGAGCAGTAATACGCGATAAACGAGACCCTTCAGTTCAATCCAATCCTGCGTACGACACAAAATGACGGACGTCCTGTCAGCCCCCGCTGCCACCACTCTGAACCAACAGGCCCCTGCTACGACGGTTAACGAGACCACTGTTGAGAATGGTGTCCCTGTTGTGCCTTCTGCGAACGATTCTACAATCGTGAGCAACGAGAAGCCTGCGGCCGTCGCCCCTCCCTCATCGGCCGATGACGAGCCCCTCTTCTCTCCGTCTCTCATCTCGCCCGATGTCCTGTCCGCCCTACCGGAAGGCTATACGGCACGGCCACTGCGTCGGTCAGACTACCACCGGGGCTACCTGGACGTGCTGCGGGTGCTGACGACCGTCGGGGACATCTCGTACGACCAGTGGGACGAACGCTACAACTTCATGATGCGACGGAATGACGAGTACTATCTGCTCGTGATATGCGACGGCAGCGGCCGCATCGTCGGTACGGGAAGTTTGATCGTGGAACGCAAGTTCATCCACGAATTGGGACTTGTCGGCCATATCGAGGACATTGCTGTCGCGAAGGATCAGCAGGGCAAGAAGTTGGGACTGCGGATCATCCAGGCTCTCGATTACGTTGCGGCCAAAGTCGGTTGCTATAAGGTGGGAGAATTGGTAGTCTGATTTGTGAAGTTCCTTGCTGACCTGTCTTTTCTTCTAGAGCATCCTCGACTGTTCCGAGATGAACGAGGGCTTCTACCTCAAGTGCGGGTTCAAGCGTGCTGGTCTTGAGATGGCCCACTATTACTGAACCTAGCCACAGTTGAAAGAATTGTCTTTTCAGCTGCGATGCCCTTGCTTCTCAGCGAAAACCTCCCGCACGATTTGTTGGAAATTCGTCAAACATTTTGCATAATAATGAACTTCCTTTCGAAAACGAGGGATCGTGATTTTGCAATACCTCGAGAAGGCTCACAGTTGAAGAGAGGTTGGCGCGACGGTGATTCCTACCTGTCGTAATTGATATCACGATAACCCTCTCATAATCATGCACGGCAGGAGGCGATTTAACTATCTCAAGGTAATTCTGGAAGTGCTCTACTAATAGACTTGTTACCATCCTGGATTGTGGCATTCGGGTGATGCGATGCCTTTTTTTTTTCTGTTTTGTTTAGGATGGGTCTTACAGTATTGTGTTTCTTCCTCGTTCTTCTACGCCTTATCACTGCTGTTCATCACATATCACATGGAGTGGAATAGAGCAGGGACGGGAATGAGCGGTGGAGTTGGAGCGAAACAGAATTACATTATCCCTCTCGAGGCTGGTGACTCGGGAGAGAAGAGAGAAGAGAACACAATAACAATGCAATAGAGTACTTATTTACTTAGTTAGAGTATATTAATGAAAGGAAGGGCTTGCTTTGGTACTTGTTCGTTGTCTTGGCAGATCTCGGTAATTCATTTCATGTTATGAAACCTTTCTCTTAAAAGAGTAATTGCTAGCAAATTTCCCCTAAAGAAAATTGAGAAGTCGATTTCCATGAAAAGAAAGAATGAATTAAGGAATGAATTAAGTGCAACTGCACGACTTATCCGAACGAATGAACCAAGGAATGAATGAAAAAGAGTACACAGTACAGTCTGGCATGATCATCCTTGATTCATTCCCGTAGTTCAAATCAAACCCTCGTAATACCTATTACCCATGCCCATTGAAATCCATTTCTTTTCTCCCATTCGAACCGTTCGCCACCCGTTACCCGTATCCTCTTTGACATGAATATGACCAATTTATCAAGGTATCAAGGCATCAATCAAGGTATCAATCGCATGTGTACATCATGAACCATTCATTCTGATTTTTTGAGTTGTTTATCGACCACCGTTCATGAAATACCTTCGTTCAAGACCTTCGACAATGGGTACGGTATAGGTATGGGTATTTATGAGCTGGGGTTGGGGTTCATCTAGTTTGGAAGAAAGAAAACATAATTAGCGTATATCCATTGACATAAATAAGTCGCCTTTCCTATCATCATATGTACGATTGATATTGTCCGGCTTTTTTTATGTATTGGGAGAATTTGAGACTGGACCGAACATACCTTCCTCTTCCCACCAGTCAGAGTAACGTTGACGAAACGGCGGGTGTACACGAGACGCTTTTTCGCGCGGCCCTTGGGGGACTTCTTCTTGTCTTGCTTGTCGACCTTTACATCGGAGAAAAAAAATCCGTCAGCAAACAAAAATAAAATTCCTTGGAAGAATGGAAACAAAAATATAAACACTCCCTCTCTCTCGCAGCAATGAATGAAGGGTAGATTCAAAGTTCACGACAGAAAGAAAAGTCGAATGGGATAGAGCAGCAAAGCTGTTAAGAAAAATAAAACACACCTTAGGAGTAGCAGCCTTGACCTTACCGGCACGGGCGAGGGATCCTAGGGTTTAGAGAAAACGTCAGAATAAATAAAATCTAGCTAATTTCGATGGATGGACAGTTTGGACAGTTCGTTAGATAAGGTAGATAATGTAATGAATTTCACTAGGTAGTACTCGCCGTGGACCTTTCCCATATTTGCGAGTTCCTTAGACTTTGTCTTTTCTTTTTTTTTTTCGATAGAGATGGATGTGATGATGATGAGGTTAATGTCGTTGTCAACAGAGTGGATGCTGTTGCTCGATCTGTCAGTAGTAGCAGTATTATGTTAACTCTGTAGGGAAGTCGGTGGTGTAAGAAGGAGCGCAGGAATCGACTCTTGTGGGACTGTGAGGAGGTTGGGTGGACCGACCAGAACTGATTGGGTTAGTTCTAGCTGTGGAAAAATGGTGCTGGTTGGTTGAGGCGCTCGCTTTGACGGCGGCTGACGCACTCACTGGTAACAACATAATTATCCCAGGCATAAAATTACATTAAACTGTATAACTAACCTCGCAGAGAGGATTGCTATAAATACAGGGATCTTGAAGACGAAGAGACCCGTTTTAAGAACAGAGAGAGTTCAAGCTTTTTTATGCGCCTACCGTCTCTGTGCCCTTTTTCTCCAGAGGCTGGTCTTAGTATGTGCCTTTCTGCATTTACAGACAAAAATAGTATAGTTCCAGGGCTGATACCCTAAAGATATACGAAGTGCCTCAATAATCTACATTTGCAGAAGATACCATAGCATCATCCTCCGTTTAGCCCATAGGACAATTCAATTTAATTTAAATTGGCGAAATGCCCTTGTATGGTCCTTTTGGCCGGTGGCTAGCTTCGCAGCATGGCCTTCATCGCTACTAGCATATCTCAGACGCGGTTTTCCCTAGCGCTCAGGATATTCGACAGTTATTATCGGAAACAGGTCGAGGAATGATAACAGAATATTGCGTGACATTAGACTGGATACAAGGCTATATGCCCGTTAATCTACCGGCCAGAGCCAAGCTATCATGTCACATCTATCCACGACTGGAAACCCAGCATGGTCGCGCCGAGCCAAACGGCCCTGCTAGACGTAGACGGGAATAATCATCTGCGCGAACCCATCGCTCATATGCCCAATATTTTCTTTGTATTTTGGAAACAATCCAGCTCCAGCTCCAGAAACAGTAAAACCCAGCATGGAAACCGTAGAGTTCTCCGCCACTCCCACCAACACAGTCGATCCTCCCCTGTACTTCATCTAACGAGACCGAGCGGTGACCTTGGGAGGAGCGCCCTTCACACCCTGCTTGCTCTGGATACGCTGGACCTTGCCCTGAGCAGCCTGGGCCGCCTGCTTGGCCTTCTCCGCCTTCTTCCTGCTCTCCGCGGCAGCCTTCTTCTCCTTGGCGTCCTTGATGGCCTGCTGACGAGCGGCAGCACGGGCCTCGGGGCGCATGCTTCGTCGCTCCCTGATCACGTCGAGGGAGGCACCGACAATAGCACGCTGGGACTTGATGACACGGCGGGTACGCTTCTTGGCAACTTCCTGTATATTGCATATATCCGTCAGCATGTGCCCCCATATCCCATCCGCGCATCCCCCAAGTCACGATTTTTCTTTATTTCTGTTCGATTCCCCCGACATAACCTCCTCCAACTCATAGAAATAGAAATTCCTGAAAGAGATAGGGTGTACTGACTTCAGAGATACCCTTCCTGTGCTGGCGACGGTACAGGACGGTCCAAGCTATCCGGCGAGGGTTCTTGCGCTGCAGGAAGAGAGACTCGGACTTTCCATTCTGGAAGCGGAAGATCTTGCTGTCGCCACGGACGTACAGCTTACCCTGTATGACACGAAAAATTGTATGTTAACTTCATCCTCTCAATTGTCGCGACAGGCGCAAGTTGCAATTTTGCGTGGCGACCCGTTTTCGTCACTCCCTCGGTCGGGGCGGACTGCGGCGCGCAGGATAAAACGTACCTTGCCAGGGTAGATCTTCTGGCCGCTGAAGGTGTCGTCGTAGGTACGCATCTTGAATGCTGCCGATGCGTAGCCGGTCGAGACGAGATCTGGTCGTTGGGCGTTGAGTGGTTGAGTCGAGACGTCTTGCGGTGCACCGATCTTGGATGATACAATTGTGGTGCGGATCAGCCTCGCTAATTGTGGGACACGTGACCGCCGCTGCCCTTGGCCGCGCCTCCCCTTTCCGACTTCTCTGCGCCTACAACAAAAATCCTCGACGTGCTACTCACCACTCAACAACGACCTGTATTCGCACAATTATTGTCTATTGAGTTGGGATAATGCATCTTCATTTCTTAGTCTTTGTGTTTCCACTCAACGGCACAATTGACTATTCATGGCAGACTGCGTATCGACTACGAAGAATCAAGTGAAAATAGAGAAAACAAATCTTTATTTTCCAGCGCTTACCTACAGAGAATTCTTTTTTCTTAATACGAGAAACCAGAGATAGAAAACATATGCGGATTTTTCACCAACATATTCCATGGAGAAGTTGTCGCTTACTATTCGCTCCCGCCGGTTTTAGCAGGAAGTCTCCTACATTGCATATAGCCAATTGTCGGCTTGCCTTGGCGACTCTTTGATGAACTACTTCGGGGCTGCGACTAATATTGTGAGTTATCGACACGAAATCTTTCCCTGTCTAAGGTCTGTGATATGCCAAGCAGGGCTCTGAGGGCCTCTATATCACATAAAAAGAGATCCTCCTCGAGGAGCCTGTAGGATAGTAACGTTAAATTCTATTTATAGAGAGCAATCATAATAAGAACCAGTAAACCTCGCTCGTATTCCGCACTCAGGGAAATTTCAACGCCGGATAAATATAGATGAATGTTTAAGCCCTCAGACCTCGACCTTCTCTTCCAGTTGATTGCGTATGGGTACCCTCTTTTACCACCTGATTGCATTGCAAGCAGCCTCACGATTGAACCTTATCCTTCTGTACACTATTAGGTCATGGCGTGAGTCCTCGTCCACTCCCTTGCTGTTTGTATTGCTGCTGGCTCGTCCTCCTTCCACCTCTGCGCAACATCGTTCGCAAGGGGATCGTCTGGATTGGGAGCTCCAAGCAAAGCCTGGATCGAAAGAAGAATAGTGCGGATCTGTAAAGCAGGAGACCAATTGTCTTCACTAATGTCAGCAGCGGAAGTCCTCAGAATCCTAATCATCGACATCACAGACGTACTCTTCAATACATCCAGACAGATCCGACCTAGCCGATCGATGTTCGGGTGATAGATCTTGGTCAGGAAACGGATTTTCGGAGGAGTCATCGGGTAATCTTCAGGCAAAAATAACTCGAGTCGAAAGATACCGCCTGCTGGGATGTCAGCCACCTTTGAACGCCATCAAGATGGTCGCGTGAGCAGGTGCTTTCACCTTCGTACGGAGATTGAGCAGGTCCATGGATGGTGACATCAAAATACCGCAGGTTGTCCTCATGAGGTACAGCGGTGATTCCTGGCACACTACCCAAAGGATGGTTAATGAACGAGGTGCTTTCTTTGACACGTGCTTTCAGTCTGCAGAGTCACTCACGGTTCTGCCATGAGACGTTCAGTCTCTTTGACTATTCTCTTTGGCAAGGCCATCTTCGTAGCCTTTGACAAATGTCTTGGATGATGCGATAACCTGTATTACCCGCTATTACTGGAAACAATTCAGAATCCGCCGTGGCCTGGGTTCTATGACACAGTGCAGCTAGGGCGGGGATGTACGGACTTCGATAGAATCAGCTCCAGACGCACGAAATTAGAATGAAAAACGACAGCAATGAAGATGACCTGCTGTCAATCTTTGATTGACAGTCGGTTATCATAAAGAAACAAAATCGCTGGGCACAGCCTTGGCTATGACAACGTAACCTACAGCTAATTTGCTGCTCAGAAAGAGGGGCATCACCAGAGGGGTTTTTGGTCTCCCGTAGCCTCGGAGGCCTCCCACTGCCGGTTTCCGGCGCGCCGAACAGACCATGTGCGCAGATCCCGTGATCCCCCACACCCGCCGCTTTAATGCGTGGCCAGAGCTCCACAGCTTTATTGCAGTTTACAGCGTTTCCTGGGTGCTTCTTTTGTGCTGTCATTGCAGGACAGTGCCATCCTTGGCTTTCTGTCCGATATCTTTCGGATCTTTGAGAGGGTTATATATCTCATTACCTTGCACAGACAGATATCGTTCGCTTAGAGGCAACAACATTCCTTTGAAGCCCCGTATATGTGTACGATTGCGAAATATTCCTGCCGCGAGCACTGCCAAACTCCGACAATGCTAGACACGTGAATTGGAGATGACAGCACCATACCTCGAGCCTCCTGGCATTGAATCCCTGTCCGATCGGGCCCGCTGGCCTCCTGAGAAATCCCGCTCTTGGTTTTTGGAAGGAGATAGCTGAGGAGATAACGTCAACATAATGTCGAGCCCGGGGGAGTCAAGAACGCTGGCTTCGGCCTTTGACAGCCCGACGTTCGGGGAGGATAGCTCGTTTCATGTAGAGCAGCCAGTGGGGTCTATGTCAATATCTCCATGCGGACGAGATGTTGTCCTTGCTTCAAAGGAGGGTCTCCACATAATCGATCTGGATTCTCCATACTCGCCTCCACGGTTTCTCCCACACCACACTCCTTGGGAAGTGGCAGACGTCCAATGGTCTCCATTCGCCGCTCGTGACTTTTGGGTCGTGAGTACCTCGAATCAAAAGGCGTTGGTATGGAACTTGGCGATGAAGACCTGGGAAAACTCGATTGAGCACGTTCTGCACGCCCATTCACGAGCAATTACCGATATCAATTTTTCAGCACATCATCCTGATATCTTAGCTACCTGCGCAGTCGACAGTTTTGTCCACTGCTGGGACCTGAGAATCCCCACGAAGCCCGTCATCTCGTTTTCTGACTGGTTTGCCGGCGCAACTCAGGTTAAATGGAATCGGCAAGATCCCCACGTCATTGCAAGTTCCCATGACAAATATCTTCGGATCTGGGATGATCGCATGGGGGCGACACCGATCAGATCCATTGAAGCTCACAGCACGAAGATATATGGTGTTGACTGGAATAGAATGCGACCGGGTGCCGTTGTCACATGCTCTTTGGATAAAACCATCAAGTTCTGGGACTACACGGCTGAAGGGGATGTTCCTGAGAAGCAAATCAAGACCCCTTTCCCAGTCTGGCGTGCAAGACATACGCCCTTTGGTTGGGGCATTCTAGCCATGCCACAGCGAGGCAATAATGATCTCCATCTCTATAGTCGTCGAGCACCAGAAGGAAGCAATCCTGCTGAAGGACTGCCTCTGGTGCACAGCTTTCCAGGACACAAGGGCCAGGTGAAGGAATTTCTTTGGCGACCACGAGGGGCAGTGATTGATGGGGTGGACCATCGAGAGTTCCAGCTGGTATCCTGGGGTGCAGATCGAGAGCTACGTCTTCATCGTGTAGATCCTGAAATCTTACGTGGCGTTGGCTACGAGAAGGGCAAGTCTTTTGTTCCTACCCTCAACGTCACCCGCAAAGGTGCCGTCTACAAAACCTTCCGTGATGAGCCCCCTGACCAGGATCTTGGGGACTCACTGTATGCTGAAACCATTATTTCCCCCGGTTCCCGTCCTCGATTCAGTGCCGGTATAGGTATGAACAACGTGTCAATGCCGTACGCTCGTGCTTGGTCCTCGGGAGGCAATGTGGACTCGAGAGTCGGTATGCAAGGACGGTCATATATCAGAACTGATGTCAATCCGATAGCTTGGATGCGTGGCGTAAAGATATCGAGCTGGGACGTCGAAACTTTGGGAGACGAAATTACCCACGTTGGTGAGAAATTTACCAAGGTGGTTTTTGAATCAGTCGATGTCAGACAACGAAAGGCCACGATATCCCTCCATGGACCTTGGGGCCCAGAGGGGGCTTCATTATTTTTGAAGGTCGACATTAAATTCCCTATCGACTATCCTCGGGCTGCGATACCCGTCTTCCGTATCCAAAAAACTGCCTCTATGACGGACGAACTTGCTGAGAAACTCACATCAGAACTGCGAACTATTTCAGAAACCTATCTTTCTCGAAAGAGAGGTTGTCTTGAAGGAGCATTGCGTTATCTTCTGGGAGAGTGTAATCTCGAAGAGAGCATTGCATTAGTGCTTGGCGAAACCACAGAAGCAGTCAAGTCACCGGTCAATGGCTTGGAGGATGATGAATCCAGCGATGAGGATGAAGAAGTGGGGACTTTCCAGAAACAAGACCTCGGAATGAGCTCTGAACTGCTTCGGCCGGTGACGGCGAATGTGATGGTCCCTGTTGCCAGGGTCTGCGGCGCGACTTGGAGTCATGATGGACGGCTCGTCTGTTTCTTTCCGCCGAAGAAAGATAAGTCGAGTTCTCTTTTCGATTCCTTGGGGTTCAAGGAAATGACCAGGCTGTCAAGAAATGAGAAGGTATTTGAAGGCTTTGGTCGCCTGCAAACCAGTTCGCCTGGACGACAAACAACAGCAGGGACAGGCACTGGTACAGGAACGATGAGCGTTACTGATGATGGGGCTTCTGATTATTCGGACGATTCTTCTACCGCATCTTCCAGTTCATCTGGGTCTTCTGATATCTTATCGGCATTACCGAATCGTTTTCAAGCGCCACCACCGTGGCGTAACGTGGGTAGCCTTGGGTACTATCGCACACGATCCGCCGATAATTCCCAGCTCTCTACAGTTGGTGGCGGGCCTGGGACTGCGAAGTCGATGGATGCCCCACATAACGTGGTATCTATACATGACCTGAGTGAACTATTGCCAGCGAAACGGGAATTGGCGGCCCAGTATCGGATATTTGGGAATGGTGCAGACGTATGTGCGCACAATGCAGCGGTCGCCGCAGATGCAGGTTATCCCCATCTGGCTCAGGTCTGGGGCTTGTTGAGGTTGATTCTGCACAACCAAGGAGATTCAAGAGCAGCATCCGACGCAGAGACAGAGCTTCTTGCACGGCCAATAAATGGAAGCATCAATAGAAGAGATAGTGGTATAGACTTGACAGATGACTTTGTGAAGAAGAATCAGTCTCCGAAAGCAAAGCCATTCAGCGAAGCCCGGTGGGGTGAACATGCTCTCGGAGCTCGGTGGCTGGTTCCAGCGCTGTTCGATCACTTTGAACAGATTGGTGATGTGCAGATGCTTGCAATGCTCTCGTGCATTTTCCACGAGCAGTGCCTAAAAACACCATCGGTCCGAAAGGAGCAGCGCAGAGAGGTATCATCTAACCAGGAGCATTCTCCGTTCGCAGTTGATTTCTTCCCATCCAAGATAGCCGGCGAGACTAAGTCCCAAGTGGCGACTCCTTTAACGTCGGTGTCAAAAGAAAGCCCCGACAGTCCAGCTGTCCAGAGTCCGCACGTCCCTACAGAACCCTGGAACAGTGTCTCCACGACGCCGTATTCTACAGGCACCACTTCTCCCATGGTAGCTCACCCTTCTCGCCCGGTGTCGGATCGACGATCTCACAACCAGTCTTTTTCGGTATCTGCATCTCCTGATCACCAGGGTATATCAAGAAGTGGCTCTGGTATTGGTACGGCTCTCGCGTCTTCTTTATCTCGATCTTTCACTTTCGGGCCTTCATCAGCATCGTCGCCGCCGAGCAACAACATCAAAAGGAAATCCAGCCCGAACGGAAGTCTAAACATCCCGGCCACAGGCGGTTGGACTGGCGGCATTTTCAGCAAAGCTGTATCGGCGATTCCAGACTACCTGACCACATCAACCGCAGTAGCCTCCCAGACCCACTCTGATGCAGATAGCGAGAAACGGAATCCCACCAAACAACCGGTTAAGGTCAAGGTGGCTTTCAAGAATCGAAACTCGTTTGACAGTGAGGACGACCTTTATAGCACTTTTATTGATCCCAAGCGAGATTGGCTTTACAGGTCGTACCGCAATGCATACGCCAACTTGCTATTCATCTGGGGTTTACCCATTCAGCGAAGTGAAGTTCTCAAGGTTGGTGGGACGCGGGACCAATTCACTGATATAACTCATCTTGGCCGGCGGAGTCGTCAAGTCTCGCTTGCACTCCCGACTCCTAAACGTAAAGAGAGTGCTTCTACAACGGAAGTAGTTTCTAAAACGGGGGGCTTGGATGTTCAAAGACACTGCACGCAATGTGGGAATGCTCTGCAGGAGTCCGTTTTCTCGTCCACTGTCGCAAAGGAACCTAACACGAGTGGGAAGATTGGAAAGTCTTCCACACCTATACTCTGTTCCAGATGTAAAGCGGCGCAGCCCTTGTCTACTAAAATTCCATGTGTTATTTGTGGCGAGACTGTTGGCGGAATGTTCACTCCCTGTTTAGAGTGTGGACACGTTAGTTGCTTTGGATGCCATCAGCAATGGTTCTCACAAGGGTTAGCGAGTGGCATTGATGACCAGGATCAGGTCGTCAGTAATGGCGATGATGGCAGTGGTGCATTACGAGCACCGGTCTGTCCCAGTGGATGCGGCTGCAGCTGTTCCGAGCACGAGGTTATCAATGTCCCTATGCCTGCCAGCCCACGCCCAGCGGAGCAGGGGAGTAACAACGGCGGACGCCATTTCCGAAGCAAATCGCAATCCCAGCCGTCTGAAGCAGCGAGCGGTCAGCACTCACAACTAGTCGGACAGAGTGAAGACGATCTGGAGAGCTGGCGTGTGTCGCCCTTTGCAACTCTGGCCAGAGGCCTTGGAGGCGGCCTAAGCCGTGGGTTGCATGGGCGAGACGACCGAAGCAAGCCTTCAACCGCAGCAGGTCCTCGAGCCGGTTCCTTAGGAAGGAAAACAGCCCTCGATCGGATGGAGACCATGTAGCGCGTTGCGCGCTTATTATCTTCTTGTCTTGTCTTAAGCATAAGCAGCTCTGGAATAATAACGACCCTTTCTCCATTCTGTTCTTCTGTACAGTACATACATAATGCATATTCTATCTATTCTGCCTCAGTCATGTCCGTTTCAATTTCCATTTCGGTTTTCTGAATTGCTATCTGTCTACAGATATCTGCTTTTTTTTTGGGCACCATAGCGCGGCGTTAGGTGGGAAAAGGAGTCTGGAGGGGTGTGGGGTTACTGTTTTTTTGTTTCCCTTTTGCCCTAACCATGATACTGTATGGCATGATACGGTGGAAACAAGACATCATCCATCATCATCGAATAAGAGGAAAGGTTCATGCTAAGAATCTTTTAGCTCCTGCATAGCTCTACAGACCTACTACCTCTGCATATATATATCTGTCTTAGGAGGCCGGAGTTGACGCAGCCCGCGGAGTGTTATTGGCTGGCTGTGCGGCCCTTACCAAATCTACATGCCGTGAATAAACAATAGCCCATTCAGTCACATGCACATGGTTAATGGACGACTTGCCAGTCAGTGTATCACCACTGCAACATGCTCGTCCATGTATTTTTCGATACTCCCCAGGCCACACGCCGCTAAGATGGACAGCACGCCAAAGGCGATACTGGTGTAGTAGACCCATTTGTAACTCTCCGCATAGGCGATCTGGCCCGCTGTCACGACGGCCTGGTAGGCGGCTTCGTTGCCTGCTATCCCGGGGATCTGGCGCAGCCCCTCCAGGAGGGAGATGCCGGTCAGCTGGATGGCGCCTGCGATGTAGGTCATGTTGGTGATGTGGAGCTTCTCCAGCATCACACCGCCAATATAGTGGTTGGCGTTCGGGATGAATTTGTTGATGAACACGTTGTAGTAGATGGTGTAGCCGATGCCGCCGCCGACGACGCGGATGGATAGCGTCAAGGCAGAGATTGTGGCGATGAGGTCCTGGAATGGCTCACAGTTAAAAATTTTTACTTCTCTTTCAAATGAAGGTGATTTTATGTTCTCTTCCCCTGTTCTTGAGGACTTACATCAGGACAAATAATGGTGGTCATGATTGATGCCGGCACGACGATACCTCCGATCCCCAGAGACGCAACAATCAGGATGCCCCAGAGTTGATGGAGATTGTCCACCCGAGCAATGGACATGGCGCCACAGCCTGAGTTATGCGAGTCAGTTGTACCGCGTTACAATGGCAAAGCCGTTGAAGCTGAACGAACGTACCTGCCGTCATGAGGCAGCTGCTCACGATCATCAATGCCTTATTATGGCCTTTCAGAAGGCTCAGGAGCCACAGTGTAACAAATGCCCCGGTCAGAATTCCGAAGCCAACAGGGAGACTGCGGAGGCCCACCCCGACCGGATCCTGGCCATAGACGTTGAATGCCTGGGTAGGCCAAAACATGATAATCGAGAAAAAGTTGGCTCCCGAGATGAACGTAATGAGCAGTGTGAGTCCCAAGATTCGAGGCTCCTGCTTGATACGCGAAGGAAAGATCGGGTATTTTGCGCCGTACACTTCCCAGAGAGCAAAGGCGACCATGAGGAAAAAGCCAATGATCAGCGGGACAAGTACATGGGCGGTGTTCCAGGCATACTGAATTTTCAGTTAGTCAGAATATTTATAGCAAAAATTGGTTTGAATTGGTCTCTTAGAACATACTTGATAGCCTCCCCACTGCAGACCAGCCAAGAAGATAACCAAGCCTGCAATGCTCAAGAAACCGCCCACAAAATCAATGCGAGAGATGATCTCAGCTTTTGACAGGCCGAGGGAGTTGACTCGAGGTGGAGGAAAATAGAACAGCAGAGTCATCAACAAACCGAGGCCATTCCAACCGCCAGCAAGAGCCCCAACATAGCGCCAGTTGCTGTGGTAGGAAATAAGTTGACCCCATAGAACGGAGGGGCAGAACGGCACAATGGTGAAGATCAGGATCGCCACATATTTTCCACGCTTTCTGGTTGGAGCCATCTCAGAAGTTGCGGCCAAAGCGGTCAACTCATTGATGCCAGCACCAGCTCCCGCAATGGCCATACCACCTTTGCGAGAAGATATATCAGCCTAGAGAGTTCAGGTCGATATTTCTCCGTATTAAAGACGGACTTACCAATGAAGACATTCATGGTCTTTGCTGTGCTGCTGATGATCATACCGATGCAGATCAAAGACGACCCGATTATGGCAACATAGCGACGGCCGATCAGGTCAGATAGCGAACCTACAAAAGGGCAGATACCTGCTAGAGCAAGCAGATTGGCCAGAACCTGCAGGAAGTCCATATCAGCGGGGCCGGACGTGCTCCAGCTTTGCATAGATCACTCACAAACCAGATCCACCGATCCGTGCCTCCGATGTCTCTGTAGATATAAGGCGGTATACCACCTGCAAAACAAAACGGTCAGCAGAGGAGATGTGTAAAAAGAGATCTCACATGCTTCGCGCTCACCAAAGAGATACACCGGAATCTGACTGCCGGTCCAGAGGAAAGCCATTGCGGTGAATCCCATGAAACGCCTAAACGTCATCTATGCGGCCCTAGGTGTTAGCAGGAACAGAAGATGGGCATTTTCAAGGCAGGGCATTGGGGGTAAGGAACGGAAAATGGCGAATAGGAAACATACAGGCGTCTCATGATCATGGTCCTCATCGTCACCGTAGGGACGGAAATCGCCATGACGGCGATATACCTGGTGCTCCGACTGAGGACTGTACTCGATTGGAATGGGACCTTTTTCTGTATCGCAATTGCTTATCGTAGGATTCCTCTGGGAGTCCATAATGACGGGCTACCGTATGTCAATGATCAAGGCACACAGACTAGCTCTCAGGTGATTGTCAGGGAAGTCCCTGGGAACTGCAGCAGATTATATCCACCTGAGAGAAATCTGGTGGCGGCGGAAGGAGGGTGACACAGGTGTTATGTGACCTCTATCGCGCTGTACTTACAACATGTAGTTGAGAATGAGGCTGGCTGAATCTCACCAGCAGTGGGGGCTGTCAACCTGCATCTACTGCACTCCAGGACATATGCAGATGTGATGTTTTTAAGAAGTCTGAGATCTCTGGAGCCCATGCGGCCATAGATATAGGTTGCGCATCGCTGCGAGCCACAGGAAAGCCGGCAACCAACAGGGCTATTACCGTCAAGCAGCAGCAGCAGCAGAAAGAGAGATCGATCCATTCTGATTTGCCATGGCTAGGGATATAACCCCTCAGAAGAAGAGAAGGCGAGCCTCCAGTGGAGGCTGGAGCTCCTTCCAAAGCTGGGCAGAACGACGCAAGGGAGATTGGTCCGGGGCCCCGGATCCACCCTGCCTTGCTGCCATCCACATTAGGAAGGAACGATCGAGACTCGACTCACGACATAATATTAATATAAGATCCCTGCGACAGCCACAATCAGGAAGGATATCCATTGGAAAGACGTGAGATCAGGTATGCATTTCGAACAAAACAACGTCAAGGAGAATCACGATTATCAATGGATGACTCCGACAAGTACAGTACTGTTCATCTGTTGCGAGACTGCGAATTGCACGATTCATCTTCCTCTGTGGAGTCAGATGATAATGGCGATAGACTTCTAGCCCCGCATTGCGCCATGAATAGCGCCTCGGATATGCCATGATGGCGGGGACCCTTGGTGGAATCAACCTCGGAGACTGATCTTAGTCCACCTCCTGTGACGAATTGTCATACCAGGTTTCTGGTAGATGTTCTAACTCCATCGGGTAATTATATCGGATCGTCCTGCACACTGGGCATCTCGCATTAGACCATCTCGTATGGTACTTGCCACTAAGTTAACTATGGGAAAGTTTACATCGCTATTTAAGAATACGTCTATCGTTTTGCTCCAGTGCCAACTTGACCAATATTCCTTGGAAATATAGACCACAACCGTTCAACGTAAAAAGGCGCCTACCTCCCCTATGTCACTGGAATAAACATCTAGAAATGCTGCTCCAGTTCGTCATACGCGTGATTGCAATAATAATGTACAGTACTATACAGTTCAGGCGATTCTTGCTCGCGGGGGTATCTCCGCATATGGACATTGGCCCGAATGCTCGAGCGCCTGTCCCGGCCACGAGCAAAAGTCTCGGCATGCTTTCTTTGGCATGCCCAAACTCCAATAAATTGGGAAAGCCAGGACTCCAGGATTGCCAAGCTCAATCTCTAGGCGCTGCAGCCTCCTGAATACTTCCCTAGACCGGATAATTGATGAGTGACCGGACTGACAGCACCAGCCCAACTGGTTTGTACGCCATATACCAATGGGAAGAGATATAGAACCAACGTTCTTCCATCCCTCTTAGACAATCTCCCGGAGAGTGAGATGCTTTGGTACGACGAACAACGCAGTCGCCTCTACACAAAGCTTGCCTTGAGTATTTCGCACTTCCCCACTGACAAACGCCTTCCGGTCCGTAGATCGCTCTCGGTCCAATCGCGTATGGATTGTGTAGAAGTCACCCGAATACACCGGCGACCGATAGTTGATATTGAGATTGGCGGTCACTCCAGTGCGCGCTGGAAAGCTGCGCAGCGCAACTTGTCCCAGACTTTCATCCATAACCGTCGCCAGGGCTCCTCCATGAACCATTGACAGCCATCCCTCCAGACCATGTCCGAAGTACACCACCTTCACAGCTTCCTTCTCCTTTTCGTTCCAGAAAATCCTCTGGAAGCATGGAATTCACGGGTTAGCCAAGGACGAAATGAGACCACTGCAGAGGATGTCCAAATCCAATTCAGACAAGGACTGGACATGGGCTAAAGTTGAACCAACCTGTACTGCCAACCCTCGACTCCCTTTCAGCGGTCCGCTGGTCAACCTGTGCTCTTTCTCTTCCTCTGAGAAATTCGTATACGGCTCCCATTCCACATAGTTCGGGTCATCCCTCAGTTTTCGAACAATTGGAAGAAGATTAATGGCCTCTTGGATTTTCTTCATCTCTCGTGCATCTTCGTCGGTGCCCGGAACAGGCGGCGCAGAGACAGTATTCACGGCAGCTTTCCCTGTGTAGAGACCCAAGCCCCCGAAGATCCCGATGTAAAGGAGCCGTCGCGTCCATCTTGACTGCGATTGCGATGCGGAAGTTGCTGCTACATCCGAGGCAGACGTGCTAGTCGTGTTTGGTCTAAGACATCTGAAAGACTTCAAGTGCGGTGCAGGCAGGTCAATGGGCCGGGGTCGAGCAGCTTGGCGCAGTAGCTGCGACGGCAAGGTTCTTAAAGGACGGAACATCGCTGCAACATCTCAGAAAAAGAATTATCGCTCCGTTTTGGAGGCCATATGCAATGGCAGAAAAGCCTCGTTGTATTCATGTTTGATGGCGGCAAGAGAAATGTCACTGAACCTTCCTGAGGCGATCACTCCGCTGCTGGGGGCGGCTGCTGCTCCGATCACGTGTTAGCGGGGATCGGAATGACTCCATTCAGTCTGTCAGACCCGAGTACGATACCTAACATGTCCCACTGCCAACGGTAAGCTACAAAGGCTGGGAGAATGGCCTCCAGCCATTTCGTAAACTGTCAAAGAAAATAGACTCTGGCTCATCGCATACTCTAAGGCACTAATCTATAGCCATACACCAATATCATGAAAGTTTTCGTCCAGCGACAGGCAAAGACAACATGGAATAACATCGCATTGATACGCTTTATTCAGAAACCACCCTACGTTCCTCAGTTTGAATCCTGAATAAGACAAGACGCCGGGATCATGAGCGGGTTTCTGGCGAAAGCAATATACCGAAAGAAGATTCCTTAGACCATGAATCACTGTTGTACTTCCTCCTTACTAGGGAGGTCAATGGCACGGTAAAGGAGGATGAGTGCAGAATGCGATTCGCCTTCGCGAGTCAGCAACGTCAGCAGAGCTCCAGATCTCGACCCAAGCTGGAAGAAGGGGGGCCAACTTACCACCACCAGCCAACGTCTCAATCTTCTCCGCGTCGACTTCGGACACCCTATCATCGTTGAACCACCACCATTTCCCGTCCTCTTCTCGTCGCTTTCCACCCGGTGCCCGGGGATCATCCACCAGCCGCTCCTGTTTCTTGATATAGGCCGTGTAGTGGCCGCTATCAGCACTGGCACCTTGGTGAGTGATCACGCCACGAAGCTCATACAGGCCCGATTGGTTGGACCCGTCATCGGCCGCCAGGTCCGGGTTGATCAGGGAAAAGAGCTCCTTCTTGGCCGCCAGGATAGCTTGCCTCCTCTCCTCTTCGTATTCCTCGTCCGTTTTGAAAACGTCGGTCATGGCAGTGTCCGTATCCTTCTCGTTGGCCTTGTTAGCTTCGGCCTGAGCTTCCAACGCCTTCTTCTGGAAAGATTCCGCGGGTGCGCCAGACGCCTCTTGCGCCTTACGTTCCTCCTCTAGTCTGTGAGCTCTCTTCTGGCGCTTGCGGGCCCTCTCAGCGTCTTCTTCATCTTTACGAATCTCTCGGACCTTGTCTCTCACGGGGATTAGTTGCTTCTTCAACTCATCCGTACAGAATTCAACAACATCCAGCTCTGCCGGAAACGTGACTTTGCGCATGATTTTGGCCTTCTTTTGACTCTCGCGTTTCCAGAAGAATCGTACAAAGTGCACAGTCAAATACTTTGGCAGACGAGCTACACGTGAACGTTTCGTGTAGATAGCATCTCGGTTCAAGGTAGGTGAGTTCTTCTCGATCTTTTCTTCCAAGCCAGCGATAATACCGTCACGTAAGTGATTGACATCCTTGTCGATATGGCAATCGAGTTTGAGAAAGACATCAGATGTCTTGACAGGCTCTTCCCCTGCTTCTTTGGCAGCCGGATCATCACACTCAAGGACGGATTCAAACCGCCCTGCCATGTACTTGTCGACAAAAGAAATTTCCTTATCTCCCTCCTTAATCTTCAACTTCTGCCGCAGTTGCGACAGGATCTGCGACCAAGCCTCTTCCGCATCTTGCTGTGCATATCCATGGCCATTCTTTGCCTTCTGTGCGAACTGAGGGAATGTGTTTCGAAGGGCATTCAAGAACATAAGTGGCGGAAACCCCTCCTGCGTCTCGGACATCTGCTTATACAAGTCACGTAACGAGGCAGTCAGGTCCATAGAAGCACCCAAGCCTCCAAGGCCAAAACTGCTCAGATCCGCCAACCGGAACGAGCTGTCGCCTGTCCCAGAAGCGCTGTACTTGAAAAGCTCTTCCTGGAGCTCGGGGATGCTTCGGAGTGTCTGCAGCGTGGCGTTTAGGTAGCAAGTATTCCCCAAGTTCTGCAAGCCTGCAGGAGTAGCGCCCTCTGCCTTTGCTGCTTCTGCTTCTGTCATGTCCTCCAAAAACTTGACCGCTTCTTTTGGGCGCCCCAAGTCGGCAGACCCTCCAGCTCCAGATGGAGTACCCATCATCATGAACGTCTGCCCTGGCTTCGCGTTAAGAGTAGACAAATCGGTGTCATCTTTGAGTTGACCACCCTTGACAAGAATCTTTTGCCGTTCCGGTTCGACACCAGTCAAGGAGTAGAGTTGAAATTTGAAAGTTTCGCCATTTGACGTCGGGTCGAGATCGACCTCGTAGCGTTTGCCCTGGTGCTTCACGATGACTGGTGAAAGGTTAACCTCAGAACAACAGCCAAGCAGCAACAATAAGAGAAACAGAACATACCTGGTATTGTAGCCATGTTGCTGGATATGAGGATGAAGGGCGAACTGTGTTTTTGTGAGCTCTTCAGCGTGGGATGGACCTGATTGTTCTGGAGCGGTAAACAGGCGCCACCGACAGATCGTGGGGTAAGAAAATGCAAACAGCGCAAACACCTTGCGGCCACACAGCGCGACCGCCCGCATCATCATCATCGTAATTAGGCCGCCTGGAGACCATATCAGCAGCATTCTGCAGTTCGGAACCAATTCATTTCATGTCACAGAAGGGTTCACTAGTCCTATTTCTGAGGAAGTGATATTGTGCCATCTCGTTTAATCTGGTTCCCAGACGGATGAGTAGCCGTTCATCGGTATCCGAATCGAGACGATAGCTGGGACAACGACCACTCGACAGCCAGCGATCTCCATCGTGCACATTCTTCGTCATGGTAGGCCCGCTTCTTTACCAAGTTCTCTGCAGGATGACCAACGTTGTCTAGTCTCAATCTCTCCGGCCTTATCTCCAGTGCGTCCGGTCGTCTCTGACCGCCGCTCTTGCCGTGTCCAACTTCGCATCTCAGACGTCGGAGCGACACAATGTTCCGGAAATCGAGGCTGCTAGCTCTCCGGAGCTCTTATTGAATCCTCTGACTGTCGCTCGCAACGAGAATGAGAAGGTCCTCATTGAGCCTAGCGTCAACAGTGTCCGCGTTAGTATCCGTATAAAGCAAGCGGATGAAATCGAAAACATACTGGTCCACAAATTCACAAGATTTTTGACACAACGCGCTGAGTCGTTTTTCATTTTGCGGAGAAAACCCGTAAAGGTACTTCCAATATTCTCGAAAGTGTATCTATCCTTACTAATACTCGCGAGCAGGGCTATGATATCTCCTTCCTCATCACCAATTTCCACACGGAGGCGATGTTGAAGCACAAGTTGGTTGATTTCATCATTCAGTTTATGGAAGAGGTGGACAAGGAGATCTCAGAGATGAAGCTTTTCGTACGTGTCTCTCTATATCCCATGACATTTCCAATTTCGGACACAACTCAATTGCTAACTCGATGCAGTTGAATGCCCGAGCACGATTTGTCGCAGAGTCATTCCTGACTCCGGTAAGTGGATTCCTGACGCTCAAGGCCTAATCCTTTTCTAAGTTAACCATTCAATCTAGTTTGACTAAGGCGTGATCGTTCCTGGATAACGACTGGTTTCATTTTTGCACCTTTTGTTCTCTCTTTTTTACAGCGGTTTCTCGTGTACAGGGACTTTGGTCAGTAGCCAACTGTCCATTCATATCTCTCCACGGCGGTCGATCATTGAATGGATAGCCGCCAAGACCCCTATCGATCAGCAGAATAACACATGCTGTGGAATCGGTTATTCTGCTTCTCCTGAAGATTGAACAAGTTGACATAGCCGCTGTTTGCAAATAGCTGCACGCTTCTCTTGCCCCGGTGGCATGTATGTCGATCATGAATAAATTTAGACTTAAATGTCCCCGTGAACTTTGATTTCTCTGCGTATCTAGTTGCTAGTTCCTAGCACAGCCAATCTTCCATCCTTGTCCCTCTCCCCGTCGTAGTTTTGGATTTCGATGGCAAGACTGCGTGTCCAATGAATGGGAAACATTAACAAGCTTAATATTTTTCGGTTGATTTCTTCTCTTGGCTTCCTGTATAACGGTACTACACATTTTTCCGACAACCAGCATTCTTGGGCCCCGTTTATTATGATGTTCTCGGTCTAATCCATTCTGAAAACTCCTTGGTCATTGCCAATTTTCTGTCTTCATACCAGTCTCCCGAGGCTTGCGTCTTCTCATGCCGTGGAAATGGTAGGTAGTGTCAACAACTTAGTTTAGCAGTTTCTTTCAAGCACCCTAGCTTATCTATTTTTCTTTTACTGACTCTTCAGGGGAATGAACGGTATTATCTGACTTTGTGATGTTTCCTCTGATTCTGTGCTTTCATATACGTGCATGTGCGAAAGAGTGAACACTGTTCTTGTTTGCCAGCTTCCTGGATGCTTGTCTAAGCCCAGATCCCTTTTCTATATAGAAGTGACTATTATCTCTCTCTGCACCGCTTAATCAGCGACGTAGGTACGCCGAGAAAGACATCATTCCCTGAGGCTTAGACTGATGGACGATTCCAACCCTTTATCTTCTCATCTTCTCCTTCTCACGACCTTGCACAAACTTGTCGACACCCACAGGTCTGACCTTCATGTCTGCCCTGTGCCTTGGTTAGACAACAGAAGCAGAGAGGGATTGATATGAATCTGGAGTTCATATTCGGTAAGAAACTTTTCATTTTTATTGTTTGAGTGTGGATTCGAGAGGAGAGCTTTCGATTTCCGTACAGCCATTCGATGACTTGAAGGTTTGTTCTCAAGTTTCGTGGAGCCTTCTTCTTCGGAGACAACAAGAGTCCTTTCAGAGACTATTCGAGGCGCTACCTTGGCTTCGAGGTGCTCAAAAGACGTCGAGTCCTCTGGTAAGGACAGTCACGACAGACAGGGGCAGGTATTTCCAGAGCAAGGAGGGGTGAGCCTGCTCTCTCTAAACAAAAACAGGCTCTGGAGATATCCAACGTGAATATAGCACTAGAAATATCCTCGCCAAAACGAATCCAGATAGCCAGGCTGCATTCTTATCGTTCACCTCAACGTCTACTGAGCATATCGTTCCCCTACGCCAACCAGAGTACAGGCAAGATCAGTTCTGACAAATGATCTGAGCTGTGGGAAGGATCATACCTAGTCAGCCCTCTGAAATGAAGCTTACACCCACAGACGAAATGAGGGAAGACGAAGGGGGAGCCCCTGTCAGGAATCAAGAGCACCTCACAATATCTCCACAAACGTTGTCATCTGAAGCCTCACTTTACCCTCTTACACCTTCAACAGTTCCCAAAGTTTTGATTCCTCGAGATTCCATGGCTGCTCATTCGGATTTTGTCCCTGACGATGACTGTCAATCATCACTAACTCGTTCATCAGTCCTACCAGGATTCTCTCATCAAGGTGACGTTGACAAATTCTCTGACTACAGCGATTCGAGCGACTCTTCTGGCAGTATGACGCCGACACCCAGTGATTTTGGAAACCCTCCAAGTCGTAACAGCTCCTCTTCCAGCAAGACGATGTCTGATCCGTTCATCATTTCAGCTCCCAGAAAAGACGTGCCCAAGGGACCCAGTGACTGCTACTCGAGCACTGGGGTGTCAGATCCATTCACTGACTCACATCAGTACATCATGCCCATGGTGAATATACCTCACAATTACTGCCAGAACCCCCAAGTCACTGGTATCGATCAAAGTGTCGCTTATTATATTCTGCAGGGATATCCCGTACCTCATCGCCCGATGGCCCTAATTTACCCTGGCCGAATGCCACAGGGTCTGCCTCCTCGTCCTCATCACATGTTTGGACCGCAACAGGCTCCGCAAATGCAGGCACCTCGAGCCCAATCCTACCAGACTGCTCAGCCCCCGAATCCCCAGACGCAGACGCAGTCTCGGCCTACTATGTTCCATGGTGCCTTTCAGGGTCAAGTGACATTGGAAAGAGTCGCACAGCCAGATGTGATGCCTTTCGCTAATATTACCGCGAGTCAGTCACCGCCTCAATGGGGTGTTATGAAAATCGAAAATGTGAGTGAACCCTCCTCTAAGTCTACATTGGACAGTTTCTGTATCATGGTTCGACAGAAAAGTCATCTTCCCAGTTTCATGCGCAAGCCTGAACCCCATAACTGACAGGTTATTGTAGCTGCCATACTCCGTCACAAAACAGGAAATTGTGCAGTTGCTCGGCCGTCATGCCCGTACCCTTACCCCTGATCTCGGCTGCCCTATTCACATTATCATGGAACGTTCCACTGCGAAGACCATGGACTGCTATGTCGAATTCTTGACCCCTGCTGATGCAGAGGCCACTGTCAGGCGTCTCAATAGCATCATGGAAAGCGGGCGTCCACCTCGCCTTGGACATCGTCGTGTGGATCTGACCGTTAGCAGCCAGGATGAACTCTTGAAGGATCTATTTCCTCGCGCGAAGTGCATCCAGTGGCGCAATGGAGTGCCTCATCTGGTGCCGAACACAGACCCCTATTCGTCCGGGTTCCAAGGATTTCTTACCAGTGAAGAAGTGCTTGGTGTTGTTCGTCACGCCGAGCAACCGCATCGTGTAAGCACAGGAGTCTTTTTGTATACACCGAAGCATCTGGGAGAGACAGATTAATGACCTGGTACTTGCAGTCGCCATTTTCTGCGAAATGTCCTCAACGTACCTACGAAAGTATGATCAGCACCATCTGGAAGGTAAGCTACCTTATTTCTCGGCCTGATTTTTGATTTATCTTCTCTTACACGAGCTAGTTCCCTTGGTATGCCACCACGATGTACACAGTAGCGGACCGGGACGCCCTCTTCCAAGCTATCAATCGTCAGATCCTGGCTTTGACCGCTCGAATTGCCAAAGAAAAAGTCATCGGTCTTGACCACAAATTGGTGAACGATCTTCTTCGAGCTGGAAGCTCTTGTCCCGCATTCAATGAGCGCCAGAAGTTCACGCTCCTCTGTAATTCGGAGGCGTTGCCCCCGCAGCCCATTCTCTTTCCCAACTTGAGATTGTATTGGCCATTTGACACGCTTGTAAAGAGACCCAATGCAACTGAGCATGAGATTATGGTACGACATCTCTCTCTCTCAGTGTTTACCTCGTGGTAGCTGACAACATTTTTCCAACTTTTTGCTAGTTCTACGCTGGTTTGGTTCAAAAAGCCCTTGCCGTGCATGACATCGAAAGCGAGCAGGTCGTCAATTCATACAAACACATTCCTACTATCCACGAATCCCCCTACGGCAATATCTGGGTTGAGTTTGCATTTCACAACAACTTGATGAAATGGAAGGACGCTGCGCAGCTTGAGATTCAGGTTGCTAAGACTCTCGTCGTTGACGGTCTGAAGCAGATCGACAGACAGCTCAGGGACATCGCTATGAGAAACCTGAACGGCCATGTGCCTCAGGCTGTTCCCTCGTCTTCATCGTCAAGCATCGATCATATCAAGGAGGCTACTCGACGACGACGGGCCACTCTCTACAGCACCCCTTGTCGTCAGACTGACAACAGCAACAGCAACACGCCTTCTTTCGCTGGCCAGCAATCGTCGGAAAATCCGGAACCTGTTTCCAGCGTTTCTGAATCGCCTCGTCTGAGCGAAGTGTCCAGCTACGCCAGCGAGTGCAGCGAGACAACCAGCCAAAGCCAACGCAGCTCGCGCAGCCGGCTGAGCCTTCCTGCAACTCCCTTCAACCATGACGGTACTGGAATCCACTTTGGCAGCGCGCCGATGTCCTCTCCCAGCCGCCTTCCGCCGTCCTTCGAGCTGTATCATCACCTGGGAGCGAAAGAAGAAGAAAGTCAGCACCAGCGCCTGACTCAGAGCCTGGGTGGCCACAGACGAAATTTCTCTACCTCCCTCTAATTTATCACACAGTTCTCGCTTACTCACTCCTATCCTCTCTATCCTCTACCACAAGAACTCGAGCTTTTTGACCATGGTTTGGACAAAACGCTTTTTGTGACGCGATGGGGTAGTTGAATAGTAAGGTTGGAACAAGGTAGTACACATGCTTTGAAGTTTGGAGACTTGAAAGCTATTGGATGCATATGCATGTGCTCCGAACTTTTTTTATTGTCTGAAAAAGGGGGGGAAAAATGTTGGAAAAAAAAGGAAAGATCAAAAAGAAATCATAAACTTCAAAAAATTTGGGGAAAAAAAAGGAAGGAAGATCATCTCTTTTTTCATGTACGATAGTTCTATTCCATGAGAAGTGGTTTGGACCCTTCTATCTCGCATAGTTTGATCATTACAGGAATCACAGGTTTCTTTTGAGTATCGTGCTCCTGCATTTCCCATACCTACTCTACCTGAAAACGAAGAAAGTACCTAGGTAGGTCCGTACGTAGTTTCGTAATCCACAACTTTCCTTTCTTTTTTGCCCCTGAATCTCAGATGTTTCTTCTTAGAAGTCAATTCCCATTTCAGTATCATCGTCATCCAACTGCGAGGCAGTTTGCCCCTGTAGATCATCCATCTTCTGCTGGGCGGCTTCCTTCTTCCTCTTTAGCCCCTCTGCTCTTTTCCGTTCCCTGCGTGCTTGCGGGTCTTCCCAATCTGGGGGCTTCTTCCCCTTGTGTCTCTGAGTAGTTATCGTAGTTGTTGGTGATGATGATAGGGGTCCTGAGCAGAGCTCCAAAAGCCTTGTGCGGAACCGATCGACTCGCTCTGTATTCACTATAAACCGCTCATTCGCCAACGCGACGAGCATCTGGAGGTATTCTTCTGTCACGAGGCTACGGATGACGGGTGGTTCATCACTGCTATCATGGTCGTCATCGTTGTTGTCTTCCTCGCAATACCCGATGATCGACTCAAGAGACAACCCTGACGAGCGGACAGCGACGATGGGGCTGGCCGCAGCGTCTGACTGCTGGTGATCCGGCTTATCATTCATAAAGTCCAGGCAACGAAGACTTTGAAGACCGCTTTCCCGGAAACCGGCACTTGAAGCAGCGGAAAGGACGGGCTGGGCGTGTTTGAGGGTGGCTGCCATGATGTGGAGGATCTGTGAAGCATCGGTCAGACTATTCGATGGAAATCCTCCATGGTCTATGGCGAGGGAAGGAGTGACTTCTCAAAAGGGGAAGGAGAGGAGGGGGAAACATGTGACATGAAAGGATCTTCCTCAAACAAACGAGCGCCTACGAATGGTCCAACACGTACCATGGGTTCGAAATGGAAGCGCACAAGACGGATGCCCTCTCTCGAGCCATCTGCCTTCTGCATCCTGGGTGTCCCGTCTCCAGGGACGAGTCCAAACAACTCATGGAAAGACTTCTTCCCTGTTTTATCTAAGATGACAGGATCATGAGAAACGAACAGCCAATGCCCTTCTCCTTTCCCGCCCGAAGCTGCAAAGGTTCGTTCCTTCTCCTTTTCCTTCTCTTGCTGCGGCTGCGGCTGCTCCTGCTTTACACGGCTGATAGCATCATCATCATCATCATCATCATCATCATCATCATCATCGTCATCGCCTTCTGCAGAGTGCTTTTTCGCACGAGAATCGCTCTCATGACTGGGTCTTTTGCTCTTCTCCTTCCTCTTCTTGCTGCCCTCGACGAACACACTCACCCTACCCGCACAGCTACTCGTGGTCACGAGACCTTCGAGGGCGTTGACATCTCGAATCAGTTCCCGGATCCCTTCGTCAATCGAGCCCTTCGGAGAAAGATCGGTATACTGATCGTCCGGCACAGACAGATCCGCCAAAATTTTACTCTTACGTGCGAGAAAACCCGGTGGGATGGCAGAACTGAGCATATTTGCCTTTTGTGGGTTGAATCACTGGATTCTCTTTCAGATAGAGGAGGAGAGTATGACAACCGATGGCGTATTGGACATTGGTACTGTACGGAGACCACCAGTCATTGGCTAGACATACCTAGCGACGCTCTGCCACTGCTTCGTAATTTTTTGTGTCTTGTGAAGCGCCTTTTCTTTCCAAATGCCTCGGATCCCGATAGGAATTCTAGTGGCGGCGTGAGCTTTTCAGTTTTCCACGGATACTCGATGGTGGTAATTAACGCCTGTCATACTAACGTATGAACAGTGTCCCCGCTTACTATTAAGCGACACCGGTTCCCGTTGGGCGGGAGGCCCGATACTAACACAAGTCTCTGCACAGTGCCGCCGAGTTACCAACCCCCTGGTCTGCCCCAGCCTCATCGCCCCCGTCCATGTCCATCTCCCGCTACCCGTGTCAGGAGCGGGCCGCTTCGATAGAGCGGCTAGTATTTTAAAGCTACGCAGTGCATCGCAGATTCGCAGGTCGTGCCTTCTAAGTACGTTATACGGCCCCCAAAGGGAAATTCTTTCTTCCTTTTTTTCCCTATCAGCATCGCCAATTAAGTGACTTTTCTCATATGACTTATACCGCTACAGATAAAGGTAGCGAACACGGAGTTACCAAACTTGAGCTTCAGGTTTAAGCGGCATGCCTCGACGGTCGTCCCGTGTAACCGCTGGGCCTGCAGCAGCGGCTATGGGACCGGCGGCACCGAAGAGGCCCACGTCCTCACCGCTCGACACCACAGCTTCGGAGACAAAAAACAAGAGACAGAGATTCTCGCAAAGTACGGCCCGCCGGAAGCCTATCAGAAGCACCGCGAAGAAGAGCAAATACTTCGAGAAACCAGCTGCAGATGATTCCGAGTCCCACTCCGCGAATCAAAAGTCCGATTCCGCTTACGAGGAGGACAATGGGACCACAACTTCGGGCTCCGACTTCGCAGAATCTGAGGAGGAGGAGGAGGAGAAACCAAAACAGAAAAGACGTGGCAGGACTACCAAGAAAACGCGAATTCGAGTGACGGACGATGAAGATGAAGACAGTTCAGTGCTGGAGACACTCAAAGGGAAAGAGCTGTGGAGAGAAGGTGTACGAACAGGACTGGGGCCAGGAAAAGAAGTGTTCATCAAAAAACCGAAAGCGAGAGATCCGGGAGACATACCCTATCGAGACGAGACGATACACCCCAACACCTTGCTGTTTCTCAAGGATTTGAAAGAGAATAACGAGCGACAATGGCTCAAAGGTATCAACACCGACTCCACGTTTTACGGAATACCGAGTGAGGCTTTCTAATACTGTATGTATCGTCAGCACACGATGCGGACTATCGGAATTCCAAGAAAGACTGGGACTCCTTCGTCGAAAGCCTCACGGAAAAAATCATCGAAAAGGATGATACTATCCCTGAACTCCCAGCCAAGGATCTGGTGAGTTGTGTCGAAATAAGGCGTGAATTATGGATTGTGTCCACCCTAATATTCTTCTCCTAGGTCTTCCGAATCCATCGAGACATCAGGTTCAGCAACGATCCTACTCCGTACAAGGTATGTACCCCTCTGAAATCCAACTGAATGGATGGACCTGCGTTTTATGTCCTTGCGGATGGTTTGGGAAGTCTTGTTGGACTGACGTGCTGGAAGACACACTTCTCGGCAGCTTGGTGGGCACAATTCTAATCATATTCTCGAGTACAGTCAGCTAACTCATACGCACAGGTCCCGAACAGGGAAGAAAGGCCCTTACGCAGCTTACTATGTTCACTTGCAGCCTGGCTCCTGCTTCGTAGGTACGTTTTTTTCTTGATGGTCTCCATTTTCCTGCCACACTGGAATCAGTCGCCTTTTGGCTGCCAGTCAGCTCGTAGAAGACCGAGCATGCAGCCACGGGGAATGTCTCCGCACATGATCGTGGTGCCATACAGCCTTGGCAGCCCAGTTGTCATATCCACGTCGCAGCCTTCTCCCAAATGCTCTCTCTACGAACGAGTTGAGAGCGTCTGGGTTGAGTTGAAGGCATTTTGCTGGGATACCGTACAATCCGATTTCGCAGAGGAAACATTAACCCATTTCCACTCCAGGTTCGGGCTTATGGATGCCAGAAGCCAGTAAGCTCGCGCTCCTGCGGGAGGACATCGATCGAAATTCGCAACGGCTCAAGGCTGTCTTAAGGGACGCTGGCATGCGGAGGGAGTTCTTCAACGGGATTCCTGACGATGAGGACAAAGCTGTCAAGGCATTCGTCAATCAGAATCAAGAAAGTGCTCTCAAAACAAAGCCAAAGGTTGGTTTTTCATTTCCTTCAAGCACAGAGAGTCCCTTAGCCGTTATCATCAACGACCCATCCCCATTCCCTGAGTCTGAACCATCCTTCTGTATCCACCAACCTGGGAAATTATTGTTGTCCAACTCGAAAAGATCTCGGAATATTGGTCTCAGACCAGGGTATCACGTTCATTCAAGGACAGTTGGGGGAGGAAAAGGAGGACGCGTCGGATGCGGTGCCACGAAGGCCGGCTCAAGTTACCTTGACTCTGGATCGTTAGCAGCTCAGAGACTTGGGAGAAACTTGTTTCTCCCATTGGAGCTATCTTTTGCGACAATCTGTGAGATCTCTCGTAAGATGGGTGATGGGATACGATACGGTCGATGGATCAAGCAAAGGGTGCGACCCTCAGACACGCTGTCCAAACGGACAGCACAGGTCATTGGCGTGGCACTGAGGTCGAAGGATAAAGCATTCATTCATCTCCAGCAACACCGTCTCGTCAGCATACAGTTCATCATCGTCACCTTCATCGACGTCTTCAGTGGGGTGGCCTGCAGGCTTGCATCCCCCTGTTTTGGCGGTGGAAGATGTGCCGCAGATGGGATGGGGCTACGGGCGGGTGTCTCGAGTCTGGAAAGCCAAATGCCTTCCCGATTCCCGCGATCCAGCAGGCGCTGTCCCCTTCCTCTCTCTAGTGGCTTCATGCCTGGCTGCCCAAGAATCCTGTTTCTGGAACCGTCGAGGCTTCTCGTCAGCTGGGTGTGGCGGAAGGTTTCTCTGCGCCGTCTCTTTTGTTTCCATGGTTCGCGTTCTGAGCTTTCCCGTGTCCTTTCACCTTCGCCGGATTCGGTGCTGGCACATTCCCGACTGACCGCCACCAACTTTCCAGGGCTACGAACTTGACAATCCCAACATCGAGTTGCTGCGACTACGGAGTTTCACAGTCGGCAAACCACTTTCGGACGAAGATTTCCTGAGTCCCAACGCGCAGGAGAAGATTGCAGATCTCATTGGTGTTATGGTTCCCTTTGTAAGGCCCCATCGATAACCCCTGCCCTTTGCTACCTCTAGGCCTCAAGGCCCTCTCCACTGTCGTCTCGCTGCGGCCCATCCCCCGGTCCGCACCTTAGTCACTTCCCTGTCCTTCCAGTCAAAAGTTTTCTCCCTCTGCCGTACCCACCAAGCAGCAGAGCATAGCACACACGACGTGTCTCTCCTTGAGAGACCCGCAGTCATTGCTGGCTCAAGTGACCAATTAGTTGCTGGAAACGAGACCAATGTGCTTGTCTTTTACCTGTTTACTTAGGTAAATTACATGCATGAAGAGGATCTCGGGCATCGCTGCTTAACTAGCCTTCCCCTCATCACCCTCCGTCCTCGAATGGAACGAAGTACTAATTTACCATTACTTCACAGGTCACCTACCTCAACAGCGTTGTCATGCCGGATCCAGCGGATGACGAGCCTAGTGGAGACCACGGTTCTGCCGACGAGGACTGAAATACTGTAGCTGTCTGAAAAATTTTCCACGGGCCATATGGTGAGTATTACTGCTTACTACTGGTTATGTTGGTTTTGCGTTTTCAGGTATGATTGGGTCTATCGGTTTGGGCATCAGGTCCTCGGGGACAACCCATGTAAATCGTCAACCAAGATGAAATCTTCATGTTCATAAATTCATATCCAAGGGAGAATACTCGCATTCCATTTCCTCGGCAGTAAAGGAAACGTCAAAAGCCGGTCACTCTTCTAATCTTTTGGAGGGGCCGCTGTAATATATATTATCACCTGGGAAATTCGATCTCAATGACTTTCTGCACTTCCCAGCTTTGACCACCCCCTCCCACGATATTCCGATCCTGATGCTTTGTCTCGCTCTTACTGGTGCAACTTGTAGACCAATGCAAGTATGTCCGGACCTGCAACCACAGTACGAGTTTCTTTGCTTGCTTCGTCCTAGCACGTTCCAGCTAAAAGACCTCCTGTCGTCTTACCGCCATTTGAGTCCGCGTTATCGGGTACAATAGGTTGCTCGACTCCGCTCTTGATCATCATTGAGCCACCAATGCGACGCCAAACTCGGGCCGTCGACAGTGCATGTACAAAGTATTTGAGGGTGCTACCTAGATACATACAGTTTTGACGTATTCTGAGCGCACAGACGACAGTGACTCTGGTCGTTTTCCACAAAAGACTCCACCTATTCACACAGGGAGGGACTGGACGGCATCGCAGCGTAGTGGAAGACCCATCCTCCATCCTCTATCTCACAGCGCAGTATCCTTCGTAGTGATTTGTGACCCCTGTCTCCCTTAAATTATGGATTTTGCGAGGAAGACTAGTGTCAATTTGTGGTTCTGAGACGCAAGTTACTTTGACCTGATCCGGCTGACATGAATCTCAAGCTTTTAAATGATGCCTGAGGCATCATCTCAAGATAAGGTTGATCGCCTTTAATCTACTATATACTTCGTAAACCATCACAACACTGAGCATTGGAGAAGGAGCAAATCAGCATAGTATTCCATTTTGTGTTGTTATGATACTGTACACCGTAATCTCTGTTAACTTTCATTTATTTTAGTTCTTAAAGAAGTTTACGACCTCTGCAAAAAAAATGAAGACGAGGTGAGAAAGGAAAAAAACAATAACAAAAAAAGAATGAATGAAGTAGAAAAGAGAGAACAAAAGAAAACAATACAAAAGTTACAGGTTCATGGCAAGAAATCTTATCTTGCATAAACGCAAGGATGGCATGCGTTGCAGGACATCCTGATCTTACTTTCCTCTTGCCTTAATCCTCTCACTTCCTTCCTTTCTTGAGATTATTACCATACTACTACTGCAACCATCTTACTTTTTCTTTTCTCTTCTATATTTTGGAGTGTTTTCCCTTGTTCTTTCTTTTCTACACCACATAATCCAGCGCTGTTCTCTTCTCGACATTGAACTCCAAAAAAAATCCGTTTGCAGGGTTTCATTGCCCGATCGATACCATCTGATAACATGAATTCCATGACTGGCGAATACGAACATGTGGATTTGAGTGCTGTGGCCATAGCAATCTTTTCGAGTCAATTGTAACACCCTTCTCCTGAAGGGCCGTATGATACGAACGAAGTACTGTGGTCAAATAAAGGACTGAGACTAGATGCAGAGACACAAAAATATAAATAGATATGTATTTAGGTACCAGTTTCCCCTATATCCTTGTGTTTGTGTTCCAGCACTGAATACCTGGATTGATACTGACATCATGCTGACGATATTGCAGAGAGCGGTCTGTTTTACTTGGATGTCAAATGTGATGTATCACAATCGGCTTGCGCGCGTGGGATGTTCCTGGGGTCTAGTTCAACAAATCTGGTCTAGTCCTCTCGATTTCCCACCGGACACGTAGATCTTCCGCTTCCGTCCAGCATAGGCGACATAGACGCGATGACCCGCTTATCTCCCCTCCCCCGTTAGCGCTTGTTTGATTCCTCGATCGATAGTTGATATCGGAACGGTGCGGACTCCCTCAGATTGGCACTAATAATACGCAAGCATGGCTAACCAAAGTTGTCTAGAACTGGTCGAGTAAGCACTCACTGACGCTTGTGAGGACCACTTGATATCGATCTGATATATGGGGTCAGCTGCGTTCTGAAAACCATAAGCTTCTTTGAACAGGATATATATGGTGTGTATTCTGTGAGCTGTCATGCCTTCCTGGCTGCTTGGGTATCTCGTCCAAGAGACGGCGTTCCCCTGGCCTGGCTCGTGTCCTTGTCACGCGACATGACAACTGAGACACAACTGCATCTGTTGAACCAAACTTTCGACGAAAAAGGAGACCAATACTACAAGCGGTTGTGTGGTGCAGCAGTAACGAGTGGCTGCTGGCGAGTTACAGGCTCCAGTGGACGTTGCTCTCTACTTGACATCAAACTCGGGGCAAAACTCATTGCTCATGCCCAACACGGGCGCTTGCAGCAGACTAGGAAGTAGTTCTGCAGATTCCTCGATGAGGAACCGGGCATCACGCGTTTACGATCTGGCCACGTCAATTGGGATCACCAGGAAATTGTATGCGTGGAGGACTGTGGGTGGCTGCCAGACAGGACCTGGCTGCGCTTCCTGCATGGCGGCGGTGAAAGCTGCTGCTTTTGCATCACCTTACTGTGCTCCTCGAATGATCATAGGCTCAGCCCGAGTCCCGTGACTGTTAGTGTATGCGGGCATCCTTCGGGAAGCAAGGGTCGGGTCGTCCATCCCGGTCGCCGCATGACCCACGCGGCGCTGCCCGTCGCGCTTCGGTCTTCGTCTACCTACCCAGGTAGGAACACTGCAAGTCTGCAGCTGCTGTGCTGTTCTTGGAGATACTTGTCCACCTCGGTTCGCTGACTGGCGCTCCAGCCCCAGGTGGATTAGGTGGTCGGCACACCGCCACAGACCCACAGCGCCGCCTGAGCACTCACAGGCGACACCGGGCGTGGAGAAAAGGCGGCCACCGCGCCAACGCGCGTCATTGGGCATCCGCGCCTGGTGGCGCACCACCACCAGTGCTGGCCGGTGACGCCGTCGGTCCCAAGCGCCGATTGGTTCCCGAGAATAAGAAAACGTGGCGGACATCACGGAGTAGCCGGCAGTGGCCGCATGACGATTCTGTGACATTAGCGGTTCCGGTATTTCCATTTCCACCCGCCGTAAGTTACGCGCCCGTCTCGGTGGCGTGTTGCTGCTCTCGCCGTATTTGACGTTGGCTGATGCAAGCGTGCTCAGACTCGATAGAAGTGAGGACTGAGGATGTCAATGACAATGACAGTGATAGTCATGTGTTTTTGCTGGTGGCAACTCTCCCTGGCGCTAAACGGTGTCGTCCTGCTCGGCTAGACTCCGCCTGTTTAGTCGAGGAGGCCTCAGCACCCTTACTCCGTAAAGGGGCACATGCAGAGTCGCACTGGCTGCAGCGTATGCCAACGGCCTAGAAAGTAATCAAGAGGGCATTGGTGCTTCCCAAAGCGCGATCCGTCGTTTTAAAATGTCTTAAATTACGAACCACCATGGTCTGCCTACGGAGTAGTGAGGAGGTCGGACAGTACCCCGTGCTCGCCTGTGCACCTGGTCCAACCCGACCGTACTCGTCGCTCAGACCATGTTTGGTCGCTGACAGCATGGCTGTTATGCAGGCGATCGACGGGAGTTCGGGGCGGCCCGTCGTTGATACGGCCGGATCCGGCAAGTGACCATACAGGCGTTGATTTCCTCGCGCTTGGGGCCGGGCTTATGCAGGTAGCATGCAAAGCGAAAGCTCCCAATGAGCGAACAGGACGGCCACAACTGCCAGGGTTATACCTTGAAGACCTGGGGATGGATCCTGGAAGGTGCACGGCCGCTCGACATAAACTACCTTAGTTCTCTGTGCCTAGGCCTTTGGCCAACCGACCGGCACGAACAGTTTGCCAGAGGGACAAATATATACACCCCAGAGATTTTATCGAAAAGTTGTCTGTATAATATGCAGAATCATCCAACGGCTGAGAGGTTGATTTTGGTCATCTTTGGCCCCCACAGAGCTCTTTGTCAGTCTGGGTAAGTCCTACACGACAAATGTAGTGTACCCATATCCATCCTTTCGTATCCTTGGCGCGCAATCCGGGCGACACTTTGCGTAAACAACTGAAATATATGCCAACAGCTAAGGACCAGTTTAGAAGCCGGAAAGCTGGTCAGGTGCGCTCGCAGATCGTTATCAAAAGGGTCGTCCAACAGCGAAAGACGCACCTTCCCAATCTGGTTATCAGCTGACTTCTCTCAGGACGAAGAAGCTCATGTCACTTGAGCCCGCTTTGGTGCAGGCTAAGGCATTTGCCCACGCCTTGGTCAGTCAAGGATGTTCGTCATCTATGCTGGTGTTGGTTGTTTCCACTATTCCAATGGTTCGCAAGGAAACGTCCTTATGTCAAGGAACATGAAAAGATCCGATACAGATATATATAGTCCACCCAAAGCTCGTTCCTCTGAGATGGCGCGTGTTCTACACAGCTCGGACACCTGCACTGGTATTATGGACAGACAAGATGAGGATTTAGATGCATCACCATTTGAATGCACTTTCACTGCTTCAGCCTCCAGGAAATGCACGTGTAGCTGAGACGCCAGACCGCGGTACCCCGTACAGTTGCTGGCGAAGGCTTGGCACGGTCCCAAGACTGTAGCCCTGGATTCCTAGGGCTCTCCACAGGCCCGAGCGGAGTGTGTGGATAATTTAGGTCGAACCTGCTGGCTGGCCTGCTCTTTTGCTCGGGCCAATCGCCGCCAGCAGCTGGGCATCTTCAGCCAGATACCACCTTCCTCCTTTGCTCGATTCGCATCTGCCAGATCTCTGCGCGTCTTTGCCCGTGCCCTCTCCAGGGCAGGCCCAGGACATCTGGCAATTGTGCGACGATACCACCGGTACTGTTCGATACAATACAGCAATACCTCGACCCCTCACCGCCTTCTCTGGCCTGCTGGCAAGGCTGCTCCACATGATCCACCATACGATGAGCATCGCGCTAAGAAGCCTAACAAGTTTACTTGCATCTTCCAATGAGAACCCGGATCGCGGCTTCGATCAAACTGGCCGCGCAGCCTGTCTCTTTGCATTCCATGGTTCGCATGCCTTACTATTGACTCCCTCCCTGCTGTTCGTCACAGTGGGGAGCTGAAGCTGCATCCGAGTTGTTGCCACCGGCCGTGCCACCGCAGGCCAGGGCTCCGGAACCGGGTTTACCCATGAGCAAGGAAACTCAAGACGGCACCAATTGATGGCTCCCAACCCCGCGGTCCGCAGCGCTCACGACCGCGATGGGGGCAGCGTGACCTCCCTCGGAGACGGGTTCATTGGTTGCTGAACGGTGAGAAAACGGCCAGGTCGTTTTTGTTCCCAGAGTGGAACCGTGAAGAAGGAGCCGAGAGCTGGGATGGATGTAGCCCCACTGGTCGAAGACGCGAAAGGAAAACGAAGAAGAAAAATTGGAGGCCATGATTAATAACGTGCAGGATCTGGCATTCCCACCCGAATCCACTCCCCATCGTTCGGACTCCGGATATTTCCACATTATCTGCAATCTGCAAGGACGGCCCGCCGTTGCGCCCGCGCTCCTTTGGTCCACCACAATCTCACGCTAAGATGGAACGTAGGGCCTGTCGGCCTCCGTTCGGTACGGTAGTAACGGTACGGGTCAGATACACCAGAACGTCCAACGCCTCCCTCTCGACTGGAAAACTCAAAGCAGGTTGTGTTCATACAGACAATGGTTGTTCGTTTTCGTTCTGCCTTGCTTCTCTTCTCAACCACCTTTCCATGTTCCCCTTTTGGATTCCGGGAAGACGTTTACTGAATGAATCTCTATCAAACCGTCATCCATTTGAAGATCTTGCACTGAACATTCGGCATGAAACATATCTACCCTTGGGGCATGGTTTCCATTTGGGTGATCCACTAACTTCAAGGCAATCAATCGATCTGTTCTCGATTGCAAAATGACGCACTCCTACAAGAACTATTCCTGCGACTGTTACGACGCGACAACCTCCGAGGAGGTCCATATGCCTATGAGTCATCGTAAACGCCCTACAACAGCGAGTCCACGAATTCGTGGTACGCTATATCCGATCTTTCATTCTTGGTGGCGTTGCCACAGGAGTGATCACTGTTCACCGTGCATTCGAGCCCAGACACTGAAAGGCCGTGTTGAAAGCTAATTTTTTTTTGCCTGACTATTATAGGTTTCGGCTCAGTAATGCCAACAGCTCAAAAAAAGCCGTTTTTTTCAACGATGTATTTTGTTTCTTTTCTCAGTAGAATCCTTTGGATGCGAGAATTGTGTGCTGTGCTCGATAAGCTAAATCCGTTAATTATCAGACGACTGCACGTAAGCGGGCGCTACTGCAGCGCATGGATCCGGAGAATAATCCTGCTGGGTCAAGCGGCGCCAGGCCAGGGTTACTCCCGAACAGGGCGCCAAGCTAAGCTGAAGACCTTAAATCTGGCAACTAGGCGTAGTTTATCCCAATCATCCATCATGTCAGGGAATGGCGCGCCCGCAGCTGATGAAGGCCCTGCTGGGTGCTCGGGTTTCGCTTTGCATGGCGTTTCAGAAACAAGACGGTCTCCTCCCAGGTCGGCAAGAAGGGCAAATCCTGATTCCTCGAGAAGGGGACGGGGGTACTAGAGCCATGGAACGCTGTGGGTGTGGGATTCTGGTACACTAATTTATTAGCCACATGACGATGGATGATGGATGGATGGGAGTGGTGGATCGAGGTTGTCTTTTTTTTTCCTTTTTTTTTTCCCTTCTTTTTCCCAAGCCAATGCTCTGGAAATTACTCCGATGAAGAAGCTTCAGCGTCGAGATTGATGGAGGAAGAGAGCGAAACGAACAATGTTTGTATTGCAATTAGAAACAAGAATCATATTGGCTGGGCCATGACGGGGATGACGACACAGTTTCGAGGGCCTATGCAGGTACTGCCGGGCAAGCCAACGAGGAGGTCTGTGCCTTGCCACACCGCAACATACGGGTAGTTAGAACCGGGGGGATTATTTGTCATCATCCTCCAGCCGACGTCAGAAGCTACGGGAGACCAAGAGAGTGGTAATCAGGAGACCTGTGACTGAGCAAGATTTTTCTTCTCCTGCCATCGACATTGATGTTGTAAATCTGCTTCGGACGTAAGTGGCAGCTCGCAACGTGCTATCACTCCCCATCCCCCGAAACTCGTGGTAGGACAGTCGGGCACCATTCGACATCCGTGGTTTGCTGTCATCCTTGTCCTGATTTCCTGTTTGCTGAACTGTCGGTGTCAGCTGGACACACTATCCAACTGTCACGGCGCATGGCGTCTTTTTATACTCTTGTCACTCCCGTGTACTGCAAGCTGCCTCACCTGCCTCACCGCTTTTAGAGCGACTTGACGCTGGTGACGTTTTGGTTTTGGGCTTCATGCCTGGCGCATTGCTTGCTTGCGCATCTCTACCAGACGAGGATCCCCACATGGGCTGCGCTGTAAGCGTGTAAATGCCCTGTCATTGCTCTGTGCAGTCTGGAGCAGAGGGCGCTGCGTGTGGCAGACCGCCTATGATGACAGTGGTACGAGGCTGTAAGGATACCGTTTGCCGCCGTACGGTACGGGCTAGTACCGGCCACCCTAGCCCACGATCCGTAGCCGTAGCCGGGCCTGCGTCCCCCGTCCCCGGCCCCGTCCGCGTCTCCGTCCGCGCCTATCCATCGCATGCAGCCTTGGGCCAGGGCGGCCCTTGAGTTCCAAACGGCGCCCAACCCGGCTGGCCACCAGCAGCTGATCCCCATGGAACTGCGATGGGGCCCAGCAGAAGGGCCCTCGTCCATGTCCACGGGTCGTTGGCGCGTTGGGCCGCCCTGCCCAGCTGGCGACTCAGCGCCGCCAGACGCCCAACCGCACCCAACCGGCCCATCACCGCCCATCGTGCCTCTGCGTCCCTTGGTTCCCTGCCTGTTGCCCTGCTCCGTTCCAGAATCCCCTCCAGCCAGCAGCGACACTCTTCCCGTTTCCAGGATTCCTGGCCTATGGACCGGCCCCAAGCCAAGGTCGAAAATTTCCCACCCTCCCGTCTGTCTTCCCGCCTTCCGCTTTCCGCCTGCGCTTGTTCCTCTGCCCATCGCGTGTCTCGCGTGTGTTCCCGATCCCTCCCTGCCATCTGCGTTTTCCTGCTAGCCCGTTACCCACAGGGCGCCGCATCCGCGACCAGGCACGGCAGCCACTTTTTCAACAGCCTTGATCGCCGTCCCGTCTGCTTCGTTCTCTGCCTTTTTTTTTTAACCCACAATTCTCCTGCCCTCGTGTTGCTCGTTCTGTGCTGCTGTTCCCCGATCCGCTCTGCATTCTGCATTCTGCATCGCGCGGTGCCCCGTGGCCGTCCGGCTGCATCAATTCCCACCAGCACGCAGCAAGGTTATTTCGTCCAAGCCACTCCGTCCACCGCTCGCTGGGCTAGTCGGCTGCTGGATCTCGACTAAGTCGCTAACTCCCGCATGCGCTACTGCCAGGCCTGGGACTAAGCGGCTCCCTAAGTCACTAGCCAGCCTAGCCTAACCCCGCTGCGGTCTGGTCCCGGCAGGCACTTTTTTTTTGTCCTTCGTGACTGGAATCCACTCTATTTAATATTCTGATCGTTTCCACACACACACCACCCACGCACCTCCAGCCCTCAACGTCATATCGCCGAGCAATCCGCCCTCCTGGCCGTCCTTGTCTCGGTCGCTCCCTTTCACTCCCTCGCCTCCTCTTTGTTTGCCTCCCCGGTCCTCCCGCCCGGAAACCCCTTCTTCGCGTTCCCCCATCTCTGCGAATTGGGCCTCTCGCTGCTCCCGTCGACCACGAGGCTATGCTAGCCTTGCACATCACCCGACCGCCGCTGGTAATCTCTCTGATTCGTCGTGCCTGGTGCTGACCGGTCTCCATCCGAGCGCGTCCGCCGGTCCTGCCGGATTTGTTCCTCTCGTCTCGACAGCACCTTCCGGCTAGCATTCCTGCCCACACGCTGAACGGGCGTCCTCACATCATCTTGCGTCCTTCCCGTCCTTTTTTTTTTCTGACCCTCTCTCGCCTTTCGCTCCTTCCCCTCCTCTCGTTGTGTCCGCAGCGTCACGCGTCTGCCTGTCTCACCAATGTCCAACAACCCCAACGAATACAACGACCCCAATCGACAGGGACAGTATCCACCGCAGCAGTGGAACGCCAGTCAGCCTGACGAGAAATCGAAATCGACTTCGACCTCCGCTGCACCGCAGCCGCCGTCGTCACAGGCCCAGTACCCTGTAAGTCCAGACCCATACGTCAGATTATATACTTGCCCTCGCGCTCCCCCTCCGTGCCCCCGATCTGGCTGGCCCTCTTTGTTCTTGTCCTCGACTGGTGTTTCTTTCCCTCACCGGCCTTATTCTTCTCAGCACCATTCTGCTGTTGTCTACATGCCCTGTCCCTTGCCATTGTGACCCTGCGCTTCTCGTGAAGGCCGCGTAGAGCCTCGTCGTGGAGCTTCGCTGACTTCTAGTGACCCTGAAGTACCCGCCGTCATCATATCCGCCGTCATCGTACCCGCCTTCGTCGTATCCGCCGCCTCCATCCTCTGAGCAAGACCGCGCGGGGGCTCCGGCATACCAATACCCTCCTCCGTCAAATTACTCCCCCCACCCCCTTCCT